GTCCGGCGAAGACACAATTAAACCGACCGACTGTTTCATCGTCGACAATGATCGATTTCCCGGGAATAGTCACCGATTTCTGTGCAGAACATCCTCCCTATGGTTCCCGTGTCCTTCCTCGAAGCCGCATCTCACTCGAGATACATCTGCTCCCAACAATAAACCAAAAAGGCATCCCTGAAATATCCAGAGCCTCCACGAAACGTCTCCGAGAACGTACAATCCTGCTTCTTGCGTTCGAAACCTATCAGCATGTGTACGAAGAAGAAACGTGATATAACGATGAGAATTTTTGTTTGGCGTTAAAAACAAGAAGAAGTAACCACCGTAGAATTGGTGGATGCCACGGACCCTGGCGAGCACAACGGGGATACTGTCTCTGATCCGGAAGCAGGGATTGCTTCGCGAACGAATCCGCTGGACGATTCCACCTCTCAAGCCAACGTTAGTATTTTCACTGCGGCGAACTCAACAATCGGGAAACCAAACGCGGACAAGCTTGGCTAATCTAGATAACTGTGGTAGAGAGATTAGAGTTATGCGAATCGCTTCGGATTATGCCAATCGCTTCGAATTCCACTTACAGCGAATGCATGGAATTGTTCTCATAAAAATGCCTCGAAATCTGNAGTTCGTTTCCCTATCCGCGTTCCCCGCGTTTCGGAACTAGCTTTTTCCTTTCGCGTACAGACGTTTCCGCGATCCCCCGACGGGGATGCCGCGCGCGAATTGTTCGCATTTATCCCCTTTACGACCCTCTTCAAATTTATATCGAATAATTTTCCGGCGAATTTCAAGCCAGCCTAGCTTTCGAAATTGTCCGCGAACAAATACAGTAACGTCTCCCTAATCGACGCTCGGATTGTGCAGAAAAATGGACAATCGTATCTCCTCTTCCAAAATTGTCCATTTTTCTGGACAATCGGAGCGTCGATTAGAGAGACATTACTGTACTCCGAGACCCGTAGATGTCTGAACCGTATCTCGAAGATGTTTTATAGTTGTACACGGCCGTCGAGGACGAGTATCGTCGAATTTTCCGCGATTCGAGCTGAGAAAGAGGCTGAAAACGATGGCGGGGCGGTGGATCGATCGATATCGGAAGACAGCCCGGGCCCCGATTCCTCCGGCAGGAATAAGCTCGGAGGAAAGAAGCACCGGCGTTCGTTATTTGGCCGGAACCGGAGCCGGAGCCGGTGCCGGAACAGCGGCCGCGCGGAAAGAACGCCGCCGCAACGGAGGAAATTTCATTTAGGCTTTCGCGAGCGGTCTCCTGTGCGACGACGTCTTTATTAGATTCGCCGACTACCGGTGCCTGCTCTCTTCGTTACTGGCGTCATTCTTCCCGGCACTTCGCATGGCTGTCGCGTCGCGTACCGAAAGCTCCGTCCGAAAGACCGTCGCGACGGGTTTCGTGCTCGATAAATAATTACGCCGACGAAATACTCTCGCGGACCGGTGCGCGACGAGTACGAATTCGAACATCGTTTTGCTCGGCGCCCAGGGCTCTCGAGACGTTCGACTTTCGAAGGAGAAATCAAAGGAGGATCTCGAAGCTGTCTCGAACGTTTCTCAAACCCGCACATTCCATCGGAGCCAGGAAGCTTTCGAAGCGAAGGTGGCAACCTTCCGATCGAAGGGCTATTTAATTCTAGAGTTTCTCGTACATTTCCCCGAGCAATTTTTAAATCGAACCGTTCGATGGAATAGAGCAGACGCGTTCTACGCGCGAAGAGTTCTCGCGAAATGTAGAAGCATAGGCGAGGAAGGAAAATCGAAGTTTCGACAACTCGATGGATGCAAATAATAATCGCGAGAGGAAAAACACGAAAGAGGGGGCGCGGACGGACGACGAGGGGGCGGAAAAGAAACGAGAAAAGAAAAATATCCGACGGAGCGACCTAACGATCCCGGGAGAGCGTCGGAAAAAATCTAGAAAAGGAAAAACCGTTTTTTTGCCTCGGTTTCCTCGGGATGCCACTTGAATCCGCTTTCGTGCTGAAATTCCCGTTGAATCGGCCGGTCGGTTCGCGGCTGGTCGGCTCGACTCGGCTCCTTTCAACTCGCGAGGGAGGGGTGGTAACAACGAATAATGAGGCTGGCTTTGATTAAATGCCGTGCCCTTTTCGCCGGAACGCTCTTTTTCGGACGTCGACGGACGACGGACGACGACGACGGACGACCACCGTCTCGAGGAACCGATCGAAGCCGCGGACGGTGGTTTTCGGAGCGGAAATATGATCGAGAGGGGATCGGTCCCGATCCGTTGTTCCTCTTCCGATCGGAGGGGTACGATAACGGCCACTGCGCCCGAAGAGAGGCCACTCTCGGATATTCGCGAGAACAGAATGCCTCGATCTCGCTCGAGCGTGTTCCGTTGCCTCTGGAACCTCGTAGTCCGACTCTTTGAAACCGTTGTACGCGTGAAATTGATTGTAGCCCGGATCTACGGGGTGGACCCTTTGAACGAGAACGCCCGGGGCTGCCTGTTCTTTACGGGCGCGGAATTGAAACCGTTGTGGATTGATCATTTCGAGTCGGAGAGCTCGCGGGAGCCCGAGCAAAGAGCCGAGAGCGAGAAAACCACGCCTATTCGGGACATTCCAGCCGGATAACGAGTCGAACAGATTTTTTTTTTTTCTAATCTCCGACGAGTCATCCGCCGACAAAAGCTCCAGGAGTTGCGAATTCGCAACCAACAGCGACGAGAACCGTCTATTTCATGTTCTCCCTCTGTACGGATTCTTCTCGATTGGCGTGGTCTCGTTGTTCCGCGATTTCGAGCAAGCTGGAGCAGAGCTCCGCGGGGGGCGAGAGCAACCTTTGTCGTTTCCGCGTTCGCAGAACAATTCCTCTGGATGGGAATTGATTTTACGAGGCTGATACGATTCGTGGATTTTTATCGTGTGTATAAACCACAGCGAACGCGAAAATACCGAGAAGAACGCGAACGGAGAGTGCCGGTGAAGACGCGGCTTTAGGCTCTGCCGGTCGATATACGTTGCCAACGAAAAGCCGATTAGCGGGCTTCCGGTCAATAAAGCGTTGAGACGCGTTAGGAGACTTGGAAAATTGACGCTACAATCGTAGAAGGATTTGAAGCGGCTCATCGGAAAGAGAACGTCGACGGATTGCTCGAGCCAATTTTGAACCGATTAAAAAGCCGATTCTTTTCGATCGAGCGAGAAATATCCGGAAGAAGCTCGATCCGAGAATAAACCTACTTTCCGGATCGTCGCAGCGTCTCGGCCCCTTGGAGTGCGCGAAACGATTCGCGGAATGGTCGCCGGGTGAAAAGCGATTTGTCGGGTGCTCGGAGGAGAAACTACGGGTCTTACCTCCACGTTGCACGTTGGGGGCCGGAAGCAGGAAATGTTTTGCGGCTGCGACGGGCCGAGAACGGTGAACTGGATCCTCCCCACGTGGAGGAACGCTTCGGAGGACGCGAGGATGCTTCCTTGGACAGGGGACCAGCAGGCTCTGCGGCCTGCCGACCGCGATTCTTGCCGATGGATTCTTGGCGATCCCTCGGCGCAACTACTCTCCGGAAGGACTCGGCGGTCACGAACTTTCCGTCGAATAACGATTCGGCAAGTTCCGACAAGCTCGGATAGACAGAGGCGGGCGCGGATTTAATTAAAAGGACTCGGCGCCGCGGAACTTGCTGGACAGACGATCCGAACCATTCGGTCCCGAACGTTTCCCTAAACGATCCGGAATATTATATCGAGACGCGAGTTCTCCCGGAGAGAACGAGTCTTCGAAGGTCCTCGCAGGAGAGACGATCGCGTATAGACACGGTGGATCGAAGACCGAGCTCGGGATCGCGATCGGGATCGATCGATCCGGACAGGGCCGGAGCTGGCAGCTGGGTGCTGGGGAGCGATCGAGGCGGTCGCGCGTTCGATTTCTCTCGTTTCTCGCGGACGGGTCTCGCTCGAAGGTGTCACTCGCGAAGATGCGGCCAAGGTTGCTGGCTGTACGCGGGGATCGAAGGTGGGCTGAGAGTGTACGCGATGCACGCGATTCACGGCGAGAGTGCGACCCCGACGACGATCACCACCGACTGAGCCGCGGAGCATCAGGAACTCGCGACGGAGCCAGCGGAAGAAAGGATGAAGAGAAGGTGGCGGTCGGTGGCGGTCGGTGGCGGCCCCGGGCGCCTGCGCTACCAATTTTACACATGGTCTACGAGCACGTTATACCCGACCACCACCCCCGCGTCCCACCCGAAACACCACCCTCGTCTCTCCTCTCGTCCAGCCTGGCGAGCGCAGCCTGCCACCCACTACTCACCCCGAAACTGGCCGGTCCGCGGGGCTCGACGAGCTCTCCGCGTAGCAGCTACGCAGCCGACTACCACCGAATCCGACTACGGATCAACGGAGAAAGATGGAGGGTCCGCGGAGAGGTCGCGAGGGAGGATTCGGGGGAGGAACCGTGTCGACGTTATATCTTGGGACGCTTCGGACGGTAATCGAGCCCGTTCAACGACCATCCGACCGGCTACGGTCGCGAGCATCCTTAGGCTTCTAATTCACGGGAATGCCGGGCTGTTTGCCGAACCGGATGGCCAATGGTCGCGTTCGATTATCGTGGACGTTCCGTGCAACGCGTACCTACGACTCGAAGCGTTCGCCAGGGGAACTTCGATCGCGCTCCTCGTCCACGCTGGTCCCTGACTAATCGGTTATTTCGGATCGCGTTTCAAGGGGTGCAACTTGCGTCTAGATTTGGTACGCGTCGAAGGAGAGAAATCGTATGAAACGGAGGTACTGTGTTCTCGCGAGCGAGCGAAATTGCCGTCGCATCGAGGAGCAGCGGTGTCCGCTCTTTACGACGAACCCGTGAAACTCGAGGTACGATTTTTTTGTTATCAAAGTTTCGTCGCGCCTCGAAAGGCGCAGCGGAATTCGTTGCGTTTCGATCGCGAAACGCTGCGGTCGATTCGCGGCAGAGTGTAGCGGAAGCGTTAATGAGACAATGGGAAGAGCACGTACCTCTCCATCGCCGTCGTAATAAACGAGGTAGCGCCTGGTCAGAACGAACCAGCGTTGCTTGTAGTTGACGGGCGTGAAACGTTTCTTGTTCTGAGACCGTTTCACCATGAACCCCTGCCTCACCACGTCCCCGCTTTTCGGCTCCAGCTTCCCATCTTTCCCCGCCATCACCGACGGTGGGCCACCCTGGAACAATAAATCCGTTATCGTCGCGTCTCGTTCGAAAACCTATCGGTAACGTATCTTATCGGCGAGACTCGCGCGTCAGCAAAACGCTGACGGAGTCGCGAGCGCGACGCTGACCACGGAATTCTACTTATTTTCGCGTGCAATTATTTTCTCGCCGTTCTCCGAACTACGGCAGATTTGTCCGAAAACTTTCCAGTCGACCCGTTTCTTGGTTTCGTTCGAAAAAAAAAAAAAGAAGAAAGAAATTCCGAAAGTCGTGTCTCGTATCGTTCCACGATCAATTTCCAAAGCGGAGAGTTCCATTAACTGTTTCCGACCGATCGACATCGTTTGCTTTCCGGATTCTTTCGAACAAGCCCGAGCTTTTCTTCGAGAACGGAAACTTTATTAAAGGCCAATTACGCAACTTCCCCGATGAACTTCCAATTATCCTACCGGATCGAATCCCCGGTAGGATATCGGTTCGAACCGCCTCCCGCTGATTCTCGCGAGATTCTTCGAAGAAAAAAAACAGCTTATTATCGCGGCGAATCCGTAGTCGAGAATATCCGAATAAACCCACCGCGAGATCGTACGTTCGCGGCGTTGCTTCCGAGAGAAGAATGCGACGGAAAAACCATCGCGCCGGTTGAGCGGTTAATGAAACGATTTAAATGAGATTTGTTCGGAGACACTGAACGAGATTACAAGTTTGACTCGTCGTTGGGTTTTGTTGGGGGATAATCGACGACGTTGTATCCGACGAACGTTTCGCGAGCTCGACGATAAAAAGAGCCGCGGCAACGGAAAAATTCGCGAGGATCGTTTCGTTCGCGGCCCCTAATTTTGGCGAGGACGGGACGGAGCGGAGAACGCGTGGGAGGGTGTATAACATCTGGCGTAAAATTACGGCTGTAAATAAATCGAGTAAATAGCGGCGACCGTTTAATACGGCGGAGCTAACTCTCTATCATGGTTTCGAAGCTAGAACGGATGTAACGCAGATGCGGTCGCGCCACTCATACGCACACGCGACCACAGAGAAAATTGCGTTAGCTGCGTGCACGGTCACGTGCCCGCGCCACGTTCCTTCCGGTTCAGCTTCCGGAAGTATCGGGAATCTCCGTCGAAGTGTACAGCGAGTCGCAAAACATTTTGCACACCTTCCCCGTTACCGATCGACCGCGCTCATCGTAGCCTCGCAAGTTCTTCCGAGAAGAACGTTCGAGAGCTTTTGAGAAAGCTGCGAATCGAAGATATTATACGCGAAAGGATCGATTAACGGAGGAACGAACCGACGACTATTGTCTCGTATAAATGGACGACCGCTTAAAAAATAGGCGATCGGCAAAAGGTGGATCGTTGGAAAAGGGTAATGGAAAATCGAGGATGACTAACTCGCTTAGGCCACGCCCTCGAGAACCTCTTCCACTTGACCTACCGATACTAATCGTTCTTATTCGAACCATTCGGTGACAATGAATTCTATCTTTTAACCACAGAAGGCAACAACATAAAACGTTCCCATTCACCACGTAAAACTTTCGAGACGTTCTCAATTAATTATAAATCTGCCGAATATATAAGAATTCGTCGCATTGTGTTTTTCATTTTTATATATTAAACAATTACATATTTCTAGACAATCCTACTGTCGCAATTTTCATAGCAATTAGCGTAATCAAATGTTCAAACTAGATAATAAATTTATAGATATAAGCTTGTTAAAATGATTAGGATACGATCTATCGAGAACAGTAACATAAGCGAGCAGAAGTAAATTATGATTCGATTGAAAATTATGAAATTGATTTGAACAAATTGTAAATGCGCGTAGTTGCTAATCAAATGGTTTATTCCATTGTTTCTACCGCGTATAAATGTAATTAAATGCATCTGTTATCGAGAACGTGTAATCTCTTTCGAAACTTGAACTATTTAACGATCCATGAAACGAGTATAGCGTCGATTGAGAAGCTTAGAATATTTTACAACGAACTGTAGGTTTTTATATCCTATGGTAAACTATGGTGACTCGATAAAAACACGTGCCGAAGCTACGTGAAACCATAGAAAGCGCTTTCATCTTCTCACGCTTGCATCGATATCGATGCGCCGATACAACAAAATGCATAAAATTGCTCTAAGCTGTCCTTGATAGTTAAAAATATATTGAACATAGTTTTCCTTAACCGTACTAAAGATGTGTCGGTGAAATAAAACACATAAGATATTACATTCGAGACTATACACGTACATCTGATTTCGCTGGAATGGACATTCTAAAAAATCTTAACAGAATAATAAATATGTTGACATTCGATACGTGTCTCCTTTATACATTTTATACCAAGTTTATAAACGATTGTCACGCGTTTACTAATTGACAGGAAATTTTAAAAAAAAATGATGGAGGAAAAATATCATGAACCTAAGTACCATTACTTTTTGAAAAGTATAAAAACAAAAACGTGTGAGTAATTAATTTATATTATCGTACAATTTTTGACAATACTGTCTTGACCTTGAAATAGCAAACAATAAGCAGATATCGCATTTTCAACAACGCATTAAGCGAGTTTCTGCGTAATCGTGACCAGGGAAAACCAAAAGGAAGCGCCAAGAATTGACTTAACGTCAAACGTTGAAAGAAAAATACCATAAAATCGAAGAGAATTATTGAACAATTGAACGCGTAAACGAGAACCGAGAATTCAAAATTGATCGTGGTTGTTAAGATTTGTCGGTAGCTCGTAGATCCTAACCAAATTCGGTTAGCACGTTCGATCTAGCAGCGAAGAACGATTAAATTTTGAAATTCTTAAGAGCGACTTAGACGACTGGTGTATGCGTCACGGGGGCAGCGAACGTATTAAAATCGTGATCGTAGAAAAAATACTAGCGACAACGAGACCGACAATTACGCGGCTAGTTTGTGGTTATCCTGACACTCGTGTCGGCGCGATTCTGTTCGTGCAAGGACGATTCTCGCGAGAACAACGGGATCACGATGGCAAAACGAAAGAAAGAATGAAACTCACCATGTACGAGCTCGCCGCTACCACGCCGCAGTTTTAATGCTTGTCAGAAACATGACCGGTGCCCAAACAAAGAATTCACGTGGAACGGAACGCATACACACACCGACAATCTGTCAAACGAAGACGTTGGAAACTCACGAGATAGCAGGAAATACCTCACTACGTTAGTAGAGCGTTTATCCCGAAACGTCGCGCGCCCTTCTAGCGGTTCGTACTGTAAAATCGAGCGACACTTTCGGCGTCTCAATGGCCACGATTTATTCGGCGAACAACGAAAATTCCCGGCCGGAGTTCGACGTCCTGGCAGCGTTAACGCGTTAACTTGGCCGACAGGGAATACCTGTTGACTCATTTTAAAAAAACAAGATGGCGGTCTCGCAGGCTACCTCTTGCATGTTGTTTTGCTTTTGCACGGACAGCGTTTGCTCCTCTTAAACACACAGTGATAACTATTACACGATTCCGGAGGGAACGTCACCGGTCGAAGTACATATATTGTCGAGTAAACAAATAACGGACGTGTCGTGATCGTTGAAAGAATCGAATCGATATAACCTAGGCGCTCTCGTTGCAAGACGGAATTACGTACACGGTTCGATGTTCAAACGCACGAACACGACTGTTCTAATAATACAATGCGTTTATGGGGTCTTTACTGTTATCTGCTCGCCACTTTATCTCTACGTATCCTGTTCTCTATCAACCACTATTTCGGAACAATGGTTCGAACCTAACCTAATCCTGTTCTATGCCCGCCACTTTGTTGTTACTCAAAAATATTTCTATCGAAACCTAACTCTGAAGTATGTACACAGTGGTGGGTAAATATCTGAGATAACAGAAAAGGTTGGGTCACGTTGGAATAGGTTAGGTTTGAGATCCAAAATAGTAGCAGGTAAAACTAAGCGGAAAGCTCCTTGCTATGCTCTGATCGTTCTCTAGATAGTCCAATATCTTCTCATTCTGTTTTTAACCAATTTCGAAATTCTTTAAACTGTTTATATGTATGTATATACATATATATGAATCGAGCGTGCAAACAATGGATTGTCCAAAACGATCGACCGAGAACAAAAGATAACAATGTAAACGGCAGATAGCAGGCAAGAGCAATATTAAATGTTTATGTTTTCAATTACCATTTGTATCCGAGTACTTGAATACTCATTCGATTTAGACCCGAGTACGCATTCTCCGATAAGCTGAGTGTAAATTCCTAACGAGAAGAAAAAGTGACGGATGAGCGCGAAAGTACGCGTCTGCGCAGTATGTACAATCCAGCGCTCCGATCAGTTTGACAACGACAACAGCATTGCCAGCGTTGTCGAACGTCGAACATAACCTGCTGCATGCTTCGGCCAGTAGCAGTAGTGTATCACGCCTCGAGTGACATTGTTCCCTGTGTTTCTGTAATTGTGTTTCTGAATATTAGATATGGCTGCTCCCGAGGCGATACAAGTTAGTTCGTTGCCGTTGCCACCGGTACAGTATATTAATGTGTACACGGACGAAAATGTTCGTCGAGGGAGAGCACCACGGCCGCCGCCGCCGATACACGACACTTACTCAATGTTTGGAAACGTATTTAACGCGGACGACACAATTATCCGACCACTCGAGGCCCAAGGCATCAAGAGATTGTATCCCCAACACTTCGATCGTCGACGGGAATTGAAGAAACTTAATCACTCGTTGCTCGTCAATTTCCTGGATCTAATAGATCTTCTTGTGCAATGTCCTGAAAGTCCGAGACGTGCCGAGAAAGTGAGTACTTGATTGCCATGCGTGTGTCTGTAAGAATAATTCTAAACGTTTGTTTTCTCCTTTTTTTCTTACTATCCGTAGGTAGAAGATCTTAGTCTTCTCTTTATTCATATTCACCATTTGCTAAACGAATTCAGACCTCACCAAGCTAGAGAAACATTACGAGTCATGATGGAGCTTCAGCGCAGACAACGCATTGAAACTGCGCTTAGGTTTCAGAAGCATTTAGAGAAGGTATGGTACTAGCGATCTTCTATAGATATTCGAAGTGGAAGAATTACGATTATATTCTTGAATTCCATTTCAGGTTCAAGAAATTTTACAACACGCGTTACAAATGTTACCAGACACGTCAGAATTAGATTCCAAGCTAGCAATAAACACAGATGCTATGGAATCGATCGATAACTTAGGATCTGAACAACAAACATCGGATCCGTGCAGTCCGAGCGATCGTATTATGTGTAAAGTAATCGACGATATGATTTCATCGAATGGACTATTTTAAAGTATCGATAGAGATCTACTTTCTATGTTATCTTGTAAAAAAAGACGCTGTAATTATAAATGTAAGATACACTGTAATGATAATAGTTCTATATAAATATTGCTAGTTTTATTTATTAAACGATACAAAGTAAAATCATTTTTATGATTTTCAAGATATTAATATTACACGTACAGAAGAAACACAATATATTTCTGATAAATAATCTTTATTCGATTAGCTATATTTGTATTGAATCTAATAAAGTAATGTTTACATGTTTGGAACGATATAGTAATTGACAACATTATTTTCCAAAAGTTACAGTACATTAATATACACGAGCATGCTTCCACATCGCTCCACAATCGACAAGTAAACGTTACAAACTATCTGTGTTTAAATACCGGCTTGCAACATGTACGAATTAGTAGATACTATAAGATTGTTCTCACAAACTGAAAAATGACTTGCATGTAAAATTATTCTCATATTATCGGGCATAAAAAATACAACGTGTATTATGCAATAGTGATATTTATTAAGTTAAATGATAATATATTTATGAATTATTATTGTTACAAAATTTTTGTTTGATGGTGGATAGGAAAAGGACACTAGCGTTCGTCCGTGCCAATCGACCGTCGCGTACGTTTTACTATGATGTCGCGGATTCCTTGATGTCGTTCAAAGGATCCTGAAGGCTCCATGTTTCGTTTTAAAAGATGAACGTAGAACAATCAACTGATTGCACTAAATTATCAAATGACCTAACGACTACCACATAGTTTCTCCACGTCTCGAGATAGGTGAAACAGAGAATACCGTAACGGTAATTACACAGTTCTCTGTAGTCGAGGTAATGGATCCAGTGTACCATAGCGATGGCGACACGGTTACACTGCAGCTTCGATAGTCTCGACTAGAGTACCCTTAAAGCGAAGACATGGTTTCTCTAGTCAAGAAGTCGCAAGATTCAAGTTGGACTACTGCTTACTTATCAGTTTGCACTTTATATTTTAGTGTTTTTGTAAAAGCTTCAAGCACATGTACAAGTTTTATGTGACACAAAAGGTCAGTTGTTCAACTAACATAGCGAAGATCACTTACACACTGGAAGAAGAAAGCGTTCGTGTGACATAATACACACATGGTGTTACAAGAAAAGTTGTTGTACACGTTACTAAAACATAAGATTAGGACACACTTATTGAAAGTGAACAAAAACGAAATAAGATGCAAATGCAATGCAGTGAATTTCGTAAACTATATATTAATGACAAAAAGTAAAATAACAAAGACAAAAGTGTGCAAAGATGCATTAGATGTTACAACAAACAGTGCCACAATTTTTGATAAAATAAAATCACCTTAATCTCCCCGTTCTCTCCATTCTTCTTACTTGATTATATTCTACTGCTACTTAATAGTAACTACCAGGTCCACGATACTAAATCGAGAGTTGGAAAGTTTTTCTGATAATGTAAGAATAGAGGTTTCATTCATCATACAGCCTATCCAACTTTTGCAGACATTTCACACATGCTGAGGAACGATAATATTAAAGAAAATAATGTTTCAATTGTCTCGGACGAAGTTTCATCGGCAAGGGATCACTTGGAATTATAATGAATACTTTGTGAAGAACTTTTCTTTTAGAGGAGGAAACGCACAGCTGAAATTATAGAAATATTTTTCACATCTTGTGTAAAGAGAGCAAGAGAAATTTTTATCAAAGATGAAAGACTAAGAACGCCATGTGCAAGACACACAAGAAGCACGACTTATTAGGGAAACGAGTCAATTTAATAATAGGAAGAAACTACAACACAACTGCATACTATGTAAATATATAATGTAAATTGTAAGCTAGTAATCACACACAAGAACGATAATCAAATTTAAACCCTAAGAGGTGACTTTCTGACTAGAGAAACCATGTTACCGATACTACGATACTCTAATCGGTGACACTGAACCTACAGAGAAAACCATGTTACTGCTACTACAGTATGTTAGACTTACTGCCTCGACGACGAAGAAATCGCATATTTATTTTTACGATGCTTTGTATTCCACTAACCCCAAGACGTGGAAAATCCGTACTGTAGTTACTAGATCACTTGACAATTCGGTACATTTGTTTAATCATTCGCTGGCCAGCTCTAAAGGAAAAACATGGATCCATGGAACCCTGATCTTCACCAACAAACCTGCGACACCATAGTAAATCTACACAACGGTCAACCGGCACGGACGAACGCTTCCTTTACGTTACGTTTATAGAACGAAAAAAAGTATACTTTCTTCGTCAGTTCCCTTAAAAGCACTCTTTGTAAATAATCACTTTTACAATCATCATTTGTATGTATGTACATTTTACAATGGTTTTACCTGGTACAGTCTTTCTTGTTATTGCAGCTCTTGCCATTTTGTGCTTACAACGTAGCCAGTTGGATGGTTAGTAAAAGTTCTTTCTCCATGTACCGCGACCTCTAGGCCTGTAGCCGCCACGACCGCCTGACCTGTTTCCTCTAAATCTACCTCGACCTGTAACAAAAACGAGAATCACGTTGACGGCACACCAAGCAACGTATCATCTAATGTTAATTGATCCTTTTAAATACCATAATTTGATGATATGTTTGAACTGTATTTGCCACTAGGTGGAGTATAGATTTCTCTCTTACTTTTGTCTTCTTTACTACGCTTATTCGAATTACTGTCGTTGCCAAATGTGATCGGAGTATGTCTCTTCTGGGCAGATGAGTTCTTCTCATTCTAAAGGGAGAATACGATGAATTTAATAAACTATATACTGCGTATATACTACTGTATACTCAAGAGATTGAAAATGAAATTTGTGGATACCTTTTTATCGGCGACAGACGTCTTCCACGAGAGATGTATAACACTCTTAAAGCTAGGTGGTGAATGAAATAGATCTTTAATTAAAGTATTAATGTTATTGGTTGTTTTCAACGCGACAACTTTCAATTGGTTTTCCTCCGATTTCAATTCCTCCTCTGACTTTCCGCTAATCGCTTCCCTTAACTTTTTTATGTAACCTTGAATACCACGTGCAAAGTATTGTAGCCTTAGTCTGAATTCTTTGAGCTGTTCCGGATCTTTTATTAAAAATTCGGGCGTTTGTTTGCATAATTTATGAAAGGCATACATAAGACACTCAACATGACTGAATTGCAATTTTGGTACCTCTGTTATTTCAGTGGCCGGTGGAAGTGGCATATACGTCTAAAAATAATAAATTATAATTATTATCTGCCACGAGAGAAGTTCAAGCGTGTACCTGCAAAAACATTTGTAACTCACTATAAGTGTATTATAAAGTTGTTGCACTTTCTCATCCGGTTTATCAATTGTACCACAAAATACAGCTAGCTCGGCAAGCAGCTTTAATAATTCCAATTGAACATCTCTACCATCCGGCGCAGAGATCAAAGAGAGATGCGGTAGAACTTGTACACATATATAGGAGACGAAACGCGATGAATCTATTTGAGACTATAACAATAAAGTAAATGCACATTATATGTCTAAAAAGAAACGAATTTTCCGTTAAAAGATACGCATCGATGATACTCACGCTAAAAAATGGAAGTGCATGTTTAATACATTGTACAAGCCTGTTCCATTGTTCAACATTAGTATGTTTAAATGGTTCAGATAATTCGGCTTGTTCGACCGTAATGTCTACTAATTCCTGTTGCCCATTTACCGTCGAACCTAATCTAGTCCAGGCAAGAATTTCCATAATACTATGGAACTCGTCAGCAGTCACATCCTGCAGAGGTAATAATTCAATTAGTATTCATAGATAAAAAGAAACAATGAAACATCCTTATTCTAATTGCATATAATTCTGTCAATCCTACTTGTAATACTTTCTTGCATTCTGAAATCAATAGGTCTTCTGGTTCCTTGGTAATAACATCATGACCTATTGCTTTCAGTTTTGTTGCTAAAAATTTAATGCAACGCTCACGTGTTCCATCATCACCATTAATAATTTGATTGAAAAATCCACTTATCGTACCTAAAAATATATTATAATATTGATTATCTATATGTATATGTATATGTATATACATATATAAATTCGATGAATGCGTATAGCGAATATTAGTTAGTAGAGACATAATATTTTTGTATACCTTTTGGATCTGATTTCATAAGTGACATAACACTATTATGAACTACAGCTAATTCCGATGGATCCTGAGCTTGGAGCAATTGAGCTAAAATGTCTGAAATTCTTGCCGTATGCTCTTTGTTATCCTTGCATAACGCAGGAAGGTCTTTAATAGCTTGTTTTCTAATCTATACACAAATTACATATATTTGCATTATTGTATGTATGTGCACATTGGGTACAATGCCTATGTTTTGCCCATATACATCATTCAAAATTCTACAAATAACCTATGACAATTGCATCGCACAAAAACAAACCAGTGAAACTTACAGCCATGTCTTCATCTTCACAGAGATCTAAATGAGCATCTATAGCTTGATCGGCCAATTTTGGAAAATATTTAAAGAACCTTGCTATAAATTGTGAGGCTAATCGCTTCTCCTTGGGCGAACCTTTCACTGCTGTAAGAATTTCCAGGTATTCCTTTTCATGCTGTAATAAAAAAAACCAAACTTTAGATCAGTATACAAACGCATATGTACACAATTTATCACTTTCTCCGTGTAATTATACGTGTAAGCTATTAAATTACTTGTAAAATATAAACCTAGCGCTACATATCGACGGACTTGTGACTATTTGAAATTTCAGAAATTTAATAAACAAAACATCTAATTTGTCTATGCGAGCATATATCGCGCCTCCAACGAACTAAACGTGGTTATTGCGTATAACCATGTTTGTACATTACCTCTGCCATTTTATCTTTGGCGTCAGCAAGAATACCAAAATTTTTATATAACTTCTCAATACTGTCCGTGCTCATGTTCAACTTTTTATGTAATCTCAACACTCAAAGACACAAAACACATAAATACGATCATGTACTTAAAAATCCGAATTCTAGCCGGCTATGCACCACGCCAAGGAACAACAAAGATGGCAGCCATTCCATGTGTATATGTACGAGATATATGCCAGTGACTGTACGCTTCGAAACAATTGAATAAACCGTTTGTCCCGTGGTGCTTGATGGCGCTGAAGTCGACGCGATAAATGATACTGGTTCCTCCTTTTCAAATTCAGGAAACGAATTACTAGTATCGCGTGTATAACACGCATTGAAAAATCAAACAGAATGAAAATACCTGAAATTATTACATTATCTTGTGATCTTGATTTTTTAAATATAGGTATTTCTTAATAACGAATAATCCTGTAGATAACTGTATGCGGGACTTCAAATGAGACACTCTGTATATAACTAATTTACATGAACACATATATCATTATACAAATGATGATTATAAATGGAATATCAGTGTTTAATTATGTAAAAATTTTGTGTTTTCAATAAACTCTTCATGTATATGTATGTATAAGTTTTACAAAAATATGATAAAAATATTTTTCAGATTTACAATTTTTCCGTAAGTTCAGGCACAGCCTTAAATAGATCAGCAACAAGACCATAATCGGTTACTTGGAAGATCGGCGCTTCCGGGTCTTTGTTAATTGCGACGATCGTTTTTGAGTCTTTCATGCCAGCAAGATGTTGAATTGCTCCGGATATACCCACGGCAATATACAAATCCTAAAAAATGTATATTACAATGTAAAACATTTGAAAAAGGCAGAAATACGAAAGCAAATTTATTTACAGGTGCAACAATTTTTCCAGTTTGTCCAACTTGCAAGTCATTGGGCACGAAGCCAGCGTCGACCGCGGCTCGAGATGCACCAACAGCCGCATTAAGCTTATCAGCCAGCGCGTATAATAATTTGAAATTATCTCCAGACTTCATACCCCTTCCTCCCGAAACAACAACCTTTGCAGATGTTAGTTCTGGTCTATCAGATTTGACCAATTCCTGTTTAACGAACTCTGTTAGGCTTGTCTTATAGTCACCAGTCGGTGCAGGATCACATTTAGCACTGCCTCCCTCCAAAGATGATAGTTCAAACGATGTTCCTCTTATCGATATTACTTTCACATTGTCTTTGCTTTTTAATGTTTGAATCGCATTACCTGCATAAATAGTACGAACAAATGTATCCGGTGATTTGATGCCGATAATATCACTTATTGGAGACACGTCTAGCTTAGCTGCAACCTTCAAAAAACAATTTAATGTTATTATTATATATGAATTCAATAAGTACATTCGCGTAAAATATTTAAATAAATGTATTTACTCTTGGCAGTAATGCTTTACCAAAAGCTGTAGCCCCAGCCATGATATGAGTAAATTTGTGTTCATTTTGGGTTGCAATAATAAGAGGAGTCAATGACTCGGGAAGAAACCCTTTAAACGATTCATTTTCTGCAACCAGAACCCTGGAAACACCATTTGCTTTGCTAACAGCTTGCACGACTGCATCACATTTTGTGCCAGCAACCAATACAGTTATGTCACCACCAATCTTTTTTGCAGCACTTAGTGCATTGCAGGTAACAGATGACAATACTTCATTGTTATGCTCTGCGATGACCAATGTGGATTCATAACGTGTTAGAATACCAAACTATAAATTGTAATTGTGATTAAATTAAGCTTTACTTTCAACTCTCTCTATCTCTCTTTGTAGAAATAAAAAGAAACATATATTCTATGTAATGTTAGTATTTTTTAACAAATGTTTATTTGTCACATCAATAAGAATTAGTATGATTAACAGAATAATATGGTTAACAATATAATACGTCCAAATATTTCGATTAAAATAGGTTGTAAATGTCACAAGTAGATTGGTTAGTACATAAAACAGATGAAGATCAAGAAAAAAAATCGAAATATTCGATACTCACTTTATTATTAACACGCAATGTTTTTATACACGTAGCAAACATTTTGTAAAATTGTAACTTCAGAAGACTATATCTTAATCAGTTCCTAAATAACGAAATAAAATGTATCCTTATCTAAAGAGTTCAAAGTCCTTCCATTTATTACTTTATAGAGGTGTAATATTTGATGTGGAATAGATTGATACTACATATGACGAAATATGTATGTACACACATGTTATAAAAAGTGATGCATTATTTTTTTTAAATAAATGCATACATATTCATACTACATTATAAGAGTATTTTATAAAAGGTGTAAAACATCTTTTAAAGGATACGAATACAAATATTGATACAAGAAAAATAATAATATGGTATATAATATTATTTCATCGTTAACACGACGTGATTTTTAATAAAAAAAAATGTTAAATACATATGTAAAGTAATTAGGGAATTCAAAGATTTAGTAATATTGTTTTTTCGGTACGCATTCTAGTGACATTTTTGTACAGGAAACAACACCTAGTGAGTTAGTCGTTCACTTCACGAATTGCAACTCCAGCGAGATGGTAATGTTTAGGTTATAATACGAAATCTAACAAATTCTTTGACATCCTAACTATTACAACAAAGTGATCTTCAGAAAATTAGTTTTAAAGTATTTACAAATTTTATTATCTGTTTCAGTCGGCTCACAAAACGTTTATTATTAAGCGAAAGCTTGCCAAAAAGTTGAAGCAGAACAGACCAATTCCTCAATGGGTTAGAATGCGTACTGGCAACACAATTCGGTAAGTAACGAAATATTTAACCGTTTTTATATCTTAATTACGTGAATTCATTAATATATTGCATATTAAGTCTGTGTGTTTTTTATTCAAATGGGATATTTTTTAATCGTTTCATAATGATCGGGGAATCATTAAATAATAATCTGTTTTCTCCGTTGCAGGTACAATGCTAAGAGACGCCACTGGAGGAGGACTAAGTTGAAGCTGTAAATTAATTCTAATTTGTTTGCTTTAATTTTCTTACCATGTTTTAATCAACTTAAATAAATTCGAGATACACGTGTAACCGAGTTTTTCATTCAAACAAATCACAAATTCAATATTTTATTATCTCATAAAACTATTGCACTACAATGAATTATACACTTTACGTTGTTTCATTTTTGTCATCCATTCTTCCAACAATTCCTCACCGCTTGGAGGATTCTTCAGGTAATAATTTTTCGGTGGTTTCCCTTCTTCTAATCGTACAAAGTAGTGACAATATTTGTAACGTACTTCCCCTGCACGTCCTCTAGCATGTCGGCGTATGCCTTTAATCACTATACTTTTCGATGAAAAAGACTCAGCTACAAAAGAAAAGTATCGAAGACAAGCTTTTGGATAAACATAATTGTTCGAATCCTAATAATAGTTTATATACTCACCAACCCATAGATTGGACTTATATTCAATGTTATGTTCTTCTACAGCCATACGTTGTGCTTCTAGTAATGTTTCTTTTATAATAGCTCCACCCTTCTGTGGTATGAAGCTGCACTGTTTTATAGCTTCGTCTATAGTCATTCCTCTCACGAAACAAGCCGCATACCACATTTTCAGTGGGCTATATTTTATATTTGCTTTCATGTGGCATACGTACTGTAAACATACATAGGAGCAGTCAACATGAAATCCTACTGTGTAAGTATAACATTCTTAAAGGAAACTTACACCAGGTCTTCTTTCTTCACCTGGTTTTTGTGGAGGAAAAATTTTTTTATTGTAGTTTGTGAATACTTCAGGTATTTTGCCAGTACCGCATAATATAGGAGAAAATCCATGTATATTACGAGACGAAATGGCAATTAATGGCTTTAGCATACCAGATAAACAATTTGAAATATTTACACCAGAAAACTGATGCGATATCAATTGCATACCCTGTCTTGAACACTGCATCTTCTATGAGAAATATAAATTAAATTGATAACTAAAATATTAAATAATAATTCATTTAACGTAATTTGTTAATTACTTAAGTTATTTCAGATGATGAATACACAATGAATACACAAATCGACTTATTTGTACACTGTAGCGAAGAAATACACGATTAAAACTAGCTGGCAGATATAACTATTAAACAATTCAAATGTATTGATTTTGCATGTAGAAACGTAATTTAATTTGTTTATTGTAATATGCTTTACTGTTCATATATGTAAACAAAAGTTATTATTCACATGCGAGCGTTAGTAGCGCCTCTTGTGGAGAAAAAATGAAGCTCCATTCGGTACCTGTGAAGCGCCAATTAGTAGGTGGCACACACACACAAAACGCTGAAACTGCTAGCCAAAACAAAACTTCCAGATTTCGCCGCAGATGGCGCCACTGTTTGGCTAGCAGTTTGAGCGTTTTGCCATTTACTAATTGGCGCTGTACGGACCTCGTTCGGAGCTTCATCTTTTTTCCGAAAGAGGCGCCACTGTCACACCCATTTGTCAAATGCAGGTTCACTGAAAAACAATAATTATGTCAAAATTAGGTCATAAAAAACAAAACCAAAAGCACAGAATTGTTCAGCAGAATTTACTGCATCGATGTTATATAAAAAAAACAAACAACAACATTGTGAAACATAATTAATTGCTTTTTGAAGTTTAATTAACTATTATGTTAATTCAATACAATATACATATTGTAATGTTGTCACTTGATTTTTACACATGATATCGATGTAGTAGTTTGTTCTGAACAATTCTGTGCTCGGTGAAAGAAATAATAAAATCAATAATCCATCAGAATTGATTAATTTTGTACATATATACATTGTATGCGCGTGTAATTAAAAATGAACGTGTTCAGATGCTAATACATACATATTATATTTGTTGCTACGTTCACAATGCACAAACTTGCATATACCCTACGTTCGTGGAAGCATGCTCTACAATGCAGTACGTTCATGACGTAACTTATTAAATTGCTATGGCGGAGAATTAAGAGTTGAGTGATTGAATTTATTTACTATTCTGCCCCGTCATTCTGTTGGGATAAAGTTTCGTTCGGCCTCCGGTAACAAGCCATGGACAGCAATAAAGATGAAGCGGAACGATGCATGGAACTCGTAGAACGATATCTCCGCGAAAAGAAATACGAGGAGGCCGAAAAGTTTGTACGTAAAGCACAAAAACTTTATCCAACGAAGAAGGCAGAAGGTAAGCGAACCGAAAGTCCACGTCAGTGTTCTATGCGTGACTAGTTAGTCAATTTTCGTTTATATCTCGTTCCATGTACACGCGATCGTTGATCCTCCAAGTTGTGATCGCTGTTAAATGTAATTCGTCGTTTTGCATACGATTGGTAGTACTTCAAGCTAATCAGGTCTGCCGTTCACTTTCGAGGAAATAATTTTGACACGCATAATTACATTTTTTTGTAGTAACATACACTTTCTATTCGCATATAGACTTGAAATTTCTCGCCAAACGTTGTTGAGTTTCTTTCGAAAAAACATGAATCCGTATGAAAATCTAGAAAAAACGAAATCGCACGATGTCGCGTGAAATTGTGGAACACTTTGACGTAATTAACTTATATTCACAGATGTGTTAGCAAAAGTGACAATGCTTACAAANGTCTTGAACACTGCATCTTCTATGAGAAATATAAATTAAATTGATAACTAAAATATTAAATAATAATTCATTTAACGTAATTTGTTAATTACTTAAGTTATTTCAGATGATGAATACACAATGAATACACAAATCGACTTATTTGTACACTGTAGCGAAGAAATACACGATTAAAACTAGCTGGCAGATATAACTATTAAACAATTCAAATGTATTGATTTTGCATGTAGAAACGTAATTTAATTTGTTTATTGTAATATGCTTTACTGTTCATATATGTAAACAAAAGTTATTATTCACATGCGAGCGTTAGTAGCGCCTCTTGTGGAGAAAAAATGAAGCTCCATTCGGTACCTGTGAAGCGCCAATTAGTAGGTGGCACACACACACAAAACGCTGAAACTGCTAGCCAAAACAAAACTTCCAGATTTCGCCGCAGATGGCGCCACTGTTTGGCTAGCAGTTTGAGCGTTTTGCCATTTACTAATTGGCGCTGTACGGACCTCGTTCGGAGCTTCATCTTTTTTCCGAAAGAGGCGCCACTGTCACACCCATTTGTCAAATGCAGGTTCACTGAAAAACAATAATTATGTCAAAATTAGGTCATAAAAAACAAAACCAAAAGCACAGAATTGTTCAGCAGAATTTACTGCATCGATGTTATATAAAAAAAACAAACAACAACATTGTGAAACATAATTAATTGCTTTTTGAAGTTTAATTAACTATTATGTTAATTCAATACAATATACATATTGTAATGTTGTCACTTGATTTTTACACATGATATCGATGTAGTAGTTTGTTCTGAACAATTCTGTGCTCGGTGAAAGAAATAATAAAATCAATAATCCATCAGAATTGATTAATTTTGTACATATATACATTGTATGCGCGTGTAATTAAAAATGAACGTGTTCAGATGCTAATACATACATATTATATTTGTTGCTACGTTCACAATGCACAAACTTGCATATACCCTACGTTCGTGGAAGCATGCTCTACAATGCAGTACGTTCATGACGTAACTTATTAAATTGCTATGGCGGAGAATTAAGAGTTGAGTGATTGAATTTATTTACTATTCTGCCCCGTCATTCTGTTGGGATAAAGTTTCGTTCGGCCTCCGGTAACAAGCCATGGACAGCAATAAAGATGAAGCGGAACGATGCATGGAACTCGTAGAACGATATCTCCGCGAAAAGAAATACGAGGAGGCCGAAAAGTTTGTACGTAAAGCACAAAAACTTTATCCAACGAAGAAGGCAGAAGGTAAGCGAACCGAAAGTCCACGTCAGTGTTCTATGCGTGACTAGTTAGTCAATTTTCGTTTATATCTCGTTCCATGTACACGCGATCGTTGATCCTCCAAGTTGTGATCGCTGTTAAATGTAATTCGTCGTTTTGCATACGATTGGTAGTACTTCAAGCTAATCAGGTCTGCCGTTCACTTTCGAGGAAATAATTTTGACACGCATAATTACATTTTTTTGTAGTAACATACACTTTCTATTCGCATATAGACTTGAAATTTCTCGCCAAACGTTGTTGAGTTTCTTTCGAAAAAACATGAATCCGTATGAAAATCTAGAAAAAACGAAATCGCACGATGTCGCGTGAAATTGTGGAACACTTTGACGTAATTAACTTATATTCACAGATGTGTTAGCAAAAGTGACAATGCTTACAAAACAAAATCAAAAGTCTGAGTCCGAACCTACTGTTAGAAAACGTCAAACCGCACCCAAGGAAGCTACGTTCACTCAAACCTCCACCGAGTATACAAAGGATCAACTCGAACATGTTAAAAGGTATAAGACACGATCAAGCTCCACAAAGTATTAGAGCTATTTACATGAAAGTCAATGGACTAATCTTATATATGATTTTAAATATTTATTATGTAAATAAAAGTATGTAAAACATTTTAACGTATGTATTTTAGAAGTTTACGATAAGAAAATGTAAACAAGGTTCTATGTTTTTATGTATTTTGAGTGAAAAGTTTCAGGGAACAGGTATATTGTTTTTGGAAAATGAGATTGTTACGATAATCTTAATGTATTTAATTACAGGATTAAGAAATGCAAGGATTATTATGAAATTTTGGGCGTAACCAAAGATGCTACTGATAGCGATATAAAAAAATCATACAAAAAATTAGCACTTCAGTTACACCCAGATAAAAATAAAGCTCCAGGTGCTGCAGAAGCCTTTAAAGGTGAGCATCGATCGTTGTACTACATCTACAGTCGTATTTGAAAGTAAAAATTTATACGTAACGCATACTACATGTTGTTCGTAGCTATTGGAAATGCTGTTGCTATCCTCACCGATGTTGAAAAGAGGAAACAATATGATATGTACGGCCCTGAAGAGGAAATAAGCCATAATGTACCAGGTCGTCAAAATCATGCTCATTACAACTATACAAGAGGATTTGAAAGTAATATTATAATATATATAATTGATATTTTCATTAGACTATTAGTGGATATTATTGTTAATAAACTTTTTGTTAACCAAACTTTTTAATAAATTTTCGTAGCCGATATCACTGCGGAAGAATTGTTCAGTATGTTCTTTGGTGGTGGGTTCCAACAACAAGAATTTTACATGAGACGTTCCGGTGGACGATGGATGAGACAACAAGATGTGCAAGCTCAACACACTCATTCTCAGGTATAATAATAATCCATAACCATGACATATACATATCAAATACATTAAGTACCATATACAACGGTTAATAATGTTTAAAAAAACCTTGTATTTGCAGCAAGCAAATGGATATACCACATTCCTTCAGATGTTGCCTGTACTGTTATTAATATTATTAACTATGATGAGCAGTTTCTTTATATCAGATCCTGTATATAGCTTGCATTCTAACGCGTAAGTGTCTCCATACGCCACAGTATTTATGACGTATAATGGCAAATAAATTAGTTTTAATTAATACTTTCATGGAATGTTTCAATTTTACTGCTTGTGCTTTACTTTCTTGGCTGTAACCTCCGGGTATATACTAAACGTTAAATTTATTAAATGACTTGTGCGAGAGTGATTATATGCACATTTTAATTTGTGCGCAGAAAATATTCTGTACCGAGAACAACTCAAGGATTAAAGGTGCCATACTATGTCAAAGAAAACTTTCACACTGAATATCAAGGCAGCTTACGTAGGCTAGAAATTTCTGTTGAAGAAGAGTACCTGAATAATTTGCGACACGCCTGTTATAGAGAGAGAAGTTATAGTAAGTATATACGTTTTACTCGGTATTATTCAACCTTTCATAAGGCAAAAATAACAATGATATTTATAGTTCCTGAAAAATAGTATACCATTAGATATTCCACATAAATGGCTTTTAATGTTTAGGAGAAACGCTATTATGGAAGGCAAGGAACTTTGAAGACGATGAATTATTTGTAAGAGCTAAAAATTACGATACACCCTCCTGTAAGAAAGTACAAGAAATGCAAAGAGCATAGCAACACTACATAATTGAATAGAACTTTGTTGTAGATAGGTGTATATTATATTTACACGTGTGTAGTTATTATTGGATGAATCGAAGAGCATCGCGCATATTATATGAGACTATATACATTGTGTTTCTTCGCATCCAAATTTGTGAACGATAACAGTCTTGGTCCCCTATGAAATTTTTATACGGACCACTTCAATTGTTTGTCCTATACTCAGAACTGTAAATTATTTCATACTGTATCGATCGCGTGTAACGTGTACGACGGATCCGAGTAAGAAGTATGAATTATTAATATTTTATTTTACCGAATGTAGGCGTGACTTCAAGCTACAATAAGATTGAAGGGCATAATATGATAATATGGACATGGCAAAATTCATTTACTCATAATATTATCAGCGTTCACGTCTCGTTATAGTTGTACAAGAAAAAAGCAGCCGAATTGTGTTGATAATCGAATGGGCAAACGTGATTTTTAAAGTATTCTCTATAATTTTATAAATGCTGGTGCAATTTGAATGCTAATTCAAATTTTGCCGTGTTATTTATGCCACTATTTATAATGGTGCGATTACAAATTGAAATGTTGACTATGGCGCGATGATTTTGCCAGAAACAGTTGTGACACTGAAACCTCCTTAAATATAGAATGTAGATAATGAGGAAAGTATATGAATCGTTGAGCCTTAACACGTTGAGCGTAACGGCAAAATTCAATCGCGTATATCACTTGTGCATCGCTCAGTCTCTTTTTTTCCTTTTTCCAACTAAAATATTTAGTTATACTGTACAAGTTTCCGATGATTTCAAAAAGTATCCGCTCGCAAACTATAGTACATGCGGCGCTCAACGCGTTAATTTCAGTCTCGCCAGAATAAGCATATGAATTATATGAAGAATATATACTAAGATTAATAACGTTGAGCCGAAAAGAATGAGTTGGTTGCATGGACATTTTTCCTCGCGCATAATTTCAATGTTAAACGATCGGATGCACTTTTTAACGATTAAATTGATTAGAAGGACACGCTTGAACTTGAATTAGATTCGTTTTGTCGTGTAGGAAAGCGTGCAGTGCACAGTATTAATGTTCAAAGTTATTACCATATATAAATTCTCTTATCACCTATACTCGGTTTGATTTATCATACGAAACATATGTAAAACTCCGTTACATTCCTTCCACGATCGCAAAAGTACCATACGACGAAAGAGAGAAGAAAATAGTTAGGCGGTTCATCGTGCAGGTGTATGCATAGGATAACATAATTACTGCAGCGATTACGGCATTAACGAAGCTATAAAAAAAAATTTTATAGAAACATTTAATTGCGCCAAAATTGTAATAAGTGACCTTCGTCCAATCTCTCGTGGGAAAGCATGTAAGAAAGGAGATTTTCTACGTTGTCAGCTGGCTCTATTATTACTTACAAATTACAATGTCATAGGCGGATAATATAAATCGGACGACCAATATACTCGATCTGATGCGTAATATTTTGTCTACGATATGGTTCCACGCGGTTCCCATGATTATCATTTTAAAAGAGTCTATATGGTGGCTAATGCATAACGAAGTAGATTCCGAACTATTTGTAGATTCGAACTGCACATATCAAGTTTCTTTCGTGTACATGAGTCGGCTATCTTATTACATAACATTAAATGACACTTCCTTTCCTAGAATTATTATCTGTATATTGTATATGATAATTTGATTAGCATCGAAATAAAGGAATTTGAAAAATAGACATTAATTTTGTGACATTAAAACGAGAGAAGTTCGAAATGAAATTATCCGCGGCGTTCGGAAATAATGAAACAATGCGCAGAACGCAGGACTCGAATATCATACGGTCGCGCTTTAGAATCCTGACGAACACGGTCTTGGTCTCATTGTCATTCTCAACCTGAATTTCCGTGATTGTGACAGTCCGCAGTCTGAACCAATGGATCTTAAAGCGATCCGAAGACGATGATTGAGGTCAATAAGTATCTAGAATTACAAGTATGTATATTGCCTGATTTGAGATTTCACTATGTGTATGCAAGAAATTACACAGGGACACAGGATTTTTTCAGAGGCCACTGGGCATTCTTAATTCTTACAGAAGCAAAACTCCAGCGCTTTTTGGTATCTAATTTCTGATGCGCATGCGTTCAGGAATAGGAAAATTTAATTTTTCAATATATATGTCCTTGTATTTATTATTTGCTCCGTTGTATGTCGAACGTGTAAATGCATTCTTTCAGCTTTAATTTGAGTCCTAAACCACTGAAAAATCATAAGGAGAAAGTAAGGTTGTATTCGAACGAACTAACATATGTATTCCAATTTTTGAATGATTTTTGCGTAGACGATTGATAATGGCGCTTCGTATGGCAAAACTTCAAAGCTCTGTTTAGGGATCTATAGAGCATCAATTAGTCAAGATCAGCTGATAATATTGCCCATGGAAGAGAGATCTCCATTTCTTTCTTTATTATCAGTTCGATTAAGATATTGTATTCTTAATCGAACTGATATTCGAACTGATTCTTGTTGGTATATACTAATTTCTGTTTATTAGTTCGCATATTTCCCGCGTGACAGAAGTTAGAGGTCGCTGTAGGAACTGTCTAGGGATAATACGCAGTAGAGGCAATGATTTTGCGCATCTTGAAATATTAGGATATGTGGTTAAATTGTGCACATAGTCGTGCAGACCGGGTCAAAGGGAGAGACAGGAATTTCAAGATTTCATGTGACTTACGTGGACTACATTCGAACCTACCCGCAGTTAAAGAGAAAAGCACAATTATTGTTTTGAGAAAAGAATTTTGCTGGTGCCACGGTAACAATATCACTGAAAAGCTGAACGTACGAAAGGAAATTCTCAAAAGCGGATCAAGATGCAGGAAGCTCAACCGAAGAGAGGCAAGAAAGGTAAGGAAACAGCAGTACTTTCGTCACATTTTTATCTTTAGGATCGCAGCACAAGAAGAAAACAGTCCGATTTCAAATTTATTTGTTCTAACTTTATTACTTCTGAAACACTTTTCACTATTTTTTCTCACACGATAAATGTCGTCTGCTTTAACATAACCTAAACTTAACCAACTACATCGATGCATACGGAAAACATAATAATGTATTTTTAATTGACCCATTGCGTTCGCAGTGTGTCCAGCGAAAGTGCGAATTGTTCGCTCTCTTCCACAATGTCGAACACCATTAAATTCCCCGTTGCAGCTTGACAATTTCTATAATTGTACTTTGGTTTTCGAATACGTACTGTACGTGTTCGGAGTAGACATTTACAAGATATTCTTCTTTATGGTATACAAATAAATTTCTGACACTCTAATCCGTGCATTTAACGTTACGACGTATATACATTTGACAATTATATACTGTTGCATTGTCAAAACTAGTGGAAAGTGAAAGTTGCCCAGTTGTGAACCAGATAGTGAAAGTATGTACCATGAGTGACAGGGGGTGATTTCATAACTTGTATAAAATTTAATGTCACGTTGGAACTCAGTTTAATTGAAATAATCCAATGAGTCAAGTGTTAATTTTCTGCTTGCACATGATTGCAACATTGTTATTACATAACAGAATGAAATTTATTCGATAAGAAATAAATTGACATTACTACCTATGTCTTAATTTTATAAATAAATATGCTTTTATTTAATCTGCATGTTACATTTTTATTTTCATATCGTAACTTCTCGTATGTATTCTCTCTACTTGTATTCGTAATAATTATATAAACATTCTTAGTAAAGCATTTTCAACGTAAATTGTTTTCTGTAAATTCTGAGTTTCTTATGCTCTATCAGCAAGAAGAAAGCGCAATGATAGCGACGAGGATATCGACAAAGTATTGGCTGAATTGGAATTGGAGTACTCTGGACAAAAGAAAGAAGTACCGAACGAACCAGTCGAGCAACACAGCGACGCTGAAGAGGATAAAAAGAAAAAGGAAAAGAAAGGTAAGAAAAAGGAAAAGACTGAAGTTATCGATATTAAAGAAGAGCTAAAGACCTCGGAGGGTCTAGAAGAGAACGATATGGACGACGAGATCGAAGTTAGCACCGTAAAAACGGCTGCACAAAAAAAGAAAGAGAAGAAAGAGAGGGAAAAGCAAAAGAAATTAGCCCAAAAGAAAGCGGTACGTAATTCATCTTCTGGTGCCTTTCTTACATATCGAAGAGAAAATGAAATTTATTGTATCCAATTTTAATTGTAACAGGAAATAATAAAGAGGGGAGAATACAATGAAAAGAACGACGAGGAACCTTCGACCAATGAAAACAAGATGGAAGCGAAAAAGGAAACAAAAAAAGAAGCGAAGAAGGAATCGAACAAAGAACCGGAGGTGAAGATACCAGAAGCTGCCGAAACGGATGGCGTTCTACTCGAAGGCGAGGATGGAAAAAAGAAAAAGAAGAAAGGAGCGAAAGATGCGGAGATTAAAGACAAGGATAAAGGTAGCGCATAATTTGGTAAAATTCTATCGATACTGTAAATACAGTACGAGCTATGGATTCGTCGTGATACAATATTAACTTGCGTCCACATTTAGTATAATTAGATATGTGCAATAGGCAAAGGCCCTGGAAAGAAGACCATCGCTGCGATGCAGGAAGCATTGAAAAAAGTGAAGGAGGAGGAGGAAAGGATGAAGCGTGAACAGGAGGAAAAACTGAAGCAAGAAGAGTTACGGGAACAGCAACGACTGGAGCAGATACGACTCGAACAGGAACGTAAAGAAAGGAAGAAACTGAAGGAAAAGCAAAGAAAGGAGAGACTGAAGGCGGAAGGAAAGCTTTTAACGACGAAACAAAAGCAGGACAGAGCGAGAGCGCAAGCCATGATCGCCGCGCTTAAAGCTCAAGGTTTGGATTTGCCGGAAGTAGGAGAAAAGAAGCCTAGGCCAGGTAATCGATAATAATCTGCGTAATATAGGATCTAGTCGAGTTCGAAAATCGTCTAAAACAGGATTTTGATTCAGGAACGCGTATAAGGCCGAATAAATTGAAACAACAAGCGAGTGTCGACGAAAAGGATGACGATAAAGTGGACGACAGCATGACGGATGCGGATAAAGTTGAAGTAGAAATTGTAGATCAACAGATGAAAGATTCGGAGGAGAAGATCGAGGTTGTTAAAGATTCGTGGGATGCTGAGAGCAGCGAAGAAGAACAAGAAGAAGGTATATCGTAGTTGTAGCAATATTTGAGCAATGTTTTTAGAATTTTTAAAAATAAAATGCATATCGTTTATTAGATAAGTCGGACGACGTACCGAAAACACCGGACAAGGTAACAGAGACGATTCTCCCAGCTGGAAAGACGAAACGAACCGAGGAAATCAATAAAGAATCTTCGGAAAGCGAATCGGAGAGCGAGAGTGCTAGCGAAGCGGACTCCGAAGAGAGCGAAGATGACAGCGGATTGGAAGACAAAGTGTCGGACGCGGTGAGGAAGAAGGAGCGAGCCAAAGTACGGATACAATGTCGGAGGATAGAAGCGGAGAAAAGGAAGTCGCTGGAGAATCTCAGGGCTGCCGTAGTTTGCGTGTTGGGTCACGTCGACACAGGTAAAACCAAGATTTTGGACAAGTTGAGAAGAACGAACGTACAGGACGGCGAAGCAGGAGGTATTACACAGCAAATCGGTGCAACGAACGTACCCATCGATGCCATTCAAGAATCAACGAGACACGTTAAAGGAGTAAGTTTCGATTTTTCAATCGCTTCGATGTATACTGTCGCACGACCGACATTACGAATTCTTCTTTCAGTTTGCCGATAAAATATTCAAAATTCCCGGACTCCTGATCATAGACACGCCTGGCCACGAATCTTTTAGTAATTTAAGAAACAGAGGATCTTCTCTTTGTGATATAGCGATATTAGTAGTAGACATTATGCACGGACTAGAGCCACAGACTATCGAAAGTATAAATCTACTGAAATTGAAGAAATGTCCGTTCATCGTCGCTTTAAATAAGATAGATAGGTAAAGTATCGTAAATCTATGCGCGATCGCGCTTCTAGAATGGAAACTTTTGTCGGGCAGCATCGCTAATCGAGAATGTTCGTAGATTGTACGATTGGCAAACGATGAACCGGAAGGATATACAAGATATTGTAAAAAGTCAAGCTCCCAATACGCAACGCGAATTTGAGAAGCGTTCGAAGGAAGTAATTGTGCAATTTGCGGAACAGGGACTGAATTCCGCCTTGTTCTACGAGAATCCCGATCCCAGAGGTTACGTCTCCCTCGTTCCTACCAGCGCCATCACAGGTAAACGAATATGTTAGACGCGTCGACGGCCGACAAGGTATCGCGTCGCATCTTTCTCAATGAAAAATAAAGGAACTTTTCTCGTCCAGGCGAGGGCATGGGTAACCTGTTGTCATTGATAGTGGACGCCTGCCAAGGTCCGCTAGCTAAGAGACTCATGTACAGCGACGAGCTCCAAGCGACGGTTTTGGAAGTGAAAGCGCTACCGGGTTTGGGTACTACGATAGATTGTATTCTAGTCAATGGAATGTTAAGGGAAGGCGAGACGATGATAGTTGCCGGTACCGACGGTCCTATAGTCACTCAAATACGATCGCTCCTTATGCCGCAGCCGTTGAAGGAGCTTAGAGTCAAGGTAATCGACCGGAGACGATGCAATAGTTTCTATGAAATCTCTCTCTCTCTCTCTCTCTCTCTCTTTTTCTCTCTATTCGAATAAGTGTAAACGAAAACTGGTCTTTTATCGCTATTCGCAGAGCGCTTACATCGAACATAGGGAAGTTCAAGCGGCTCAGGGAGTGAAGATCGCCGCGAAAGACTTGGAGAAGGCGATCGCAGGTAAGAGTACTTTCTGTCGCGACCTCCTTCCACGGTAAGGAATGTAACGGGTGCAATAATCGTACGATTTCATATTTTCTGGACAGGGCTGAATCTTCAAGTGGCCCAGAAGCCCGACGAAGTGGAGATATTGAAGGAGGAGATCGCGAAAGAGCTGAGCAGCGCTTTAGGCAATATACGTCTCGCGGAACGCGGCGTCTACGTGCAGGCGTCGACCTTGGGCGCGTTGGAGGCGTTATTGGACTTCTTGAAGAGCAGCAAAATACCGGTGAGTCTCGCATTTCATCGTGGTATCATGGATACCGAACTGAAAGTTAAAGTAGACACCAGCAATGTTTGCGACACGATTGTTATCCGCACAATCGGGCGAGCGATTGTCCTTTCGGACAACCAGAAAGGGAACGATGCACGGTAATCGACGACGGGGAAGGACAGGTCCTCGAAAAGGCTTGCGGCCACGCGTTCGATCGGCCGTCGTCGACGGTTCCATCGTCGATCTTTCGCGCGATCTTTACGTTCAATGATGGACCACCGCGGAGCATCTCGAACGAAGCGTAACCGCGGGAGCGAATAGTACGATCGGCAGAAAGATAGACAGCAAAGGAGATAGAAAGGGAGAGGCGGATAGAGAAAGGGAGGCTGGACGAGAGGAGAGGAGAGGAGAGGAGAGGAGAGGAGGCGAGCCTCGCCGAAGAGAGACCGGCGAGGTGTGGAACGGGAGGGCGAGCGAGAGAGAAGAGGCAGCAACGAACCACTTCCTTCTTAACAGTTTAGCAGGATACGACTCATTGGTAGCATACGGTGCTTGTGGTTGTGATCCATCGAGCTATCAGTCGTGTTGTGCATCCGTGGGCACGCCTTGCACGCCTTGCACGTCTTGCACGTTTCCACAGGGTGTCTTGCATGTCGCGAGATCTTTCACGCTCGGAAACTTCTCTCCACGAAAATGATTTCTCGCAACGAACACGACGCCGTAGAACTCTCCGAAATATTTCGCGTCTACCCTTTCTCATCGATGTCGTGGAAATCGGGCCCGAAAGATGCGGCTCGTCCAAACGACTCGAAATAATCGGTAGATCCGTAAAAGAGCTTAAGAAATGCGACATACAGATGACATTGCGTTCGATCACGCGGTGAACCAGACTCGCCGGACGATTCGGAAGCACGAAAGATTACGATTTACGAAACGCGCGAACATTTTCTCCGGTTCTACGCGTTACGTTCCGTTGTTAACGGAAAACGAGCGGCGTGTACGGCGGTGTGTCATTGGTGGCCGAGCCAAACAGGAAATCCGGAGGAAACGGTAAACAATGAAATTTTGAAAGAGGTCTGTTGAAAATAGTCCACGTTAAATTGTGTACGAGAGATAGCCTTGCGAACGAATGGTAGTTCCTCTACGATCTTTCGTCACTTGGCAAAGATTGGCGAAGCAAAGAGGACGGATAAGTGGCCTCCGCGCGCGGAGCGGGAGACGTTCGAGGGCCTCGGCGAAATGCGAGTCGCGGCGCGTTCGTCGAGCAGCGAACAATTAAAGTTCTGGTCGCCCAAGCTTTTCCCTTTTTCGATGCTCTCCTCCGGGGAAAGCTGGCCGAACGCGAAACATCGGTCGGAACGGGTTTCGATTCTTCGAACGATCGGTCGCTCGCGCGAAGCAGGCATACCACGGTACACGGTAACGTCTCTCTAATCGACGCTCGGATTCTCCACGAAATTGGACAATTTGGTGCATAATCTGAGCGCCGGTTACGGAGATATTATTGTAATACGAACGAACGATACGCGCGTAACAACGATAGGCACTCTCGCGACACGTTGCTCGATGCGCGCGTACGCGGAGAACTTTCTCCGCGGCGAAATCGAAAGATTTCGGAGACGTTCGAGGATCGGAAGCGAAAGAGACGAGACGACGACCGGGACTCCTGCGCGAAATTTTAGGTCTTAGGGAAGGAAGCATTCGGCACAATTCTCGGGAGAGTTCCGAGAGGCGACCGCGGTTGGTCGCGCGGGTTCGCAACGACGAGCATTATCCCGCCTCGACGGCTCGACGGCTCGACGGTGTTCGAAGCTGTCGGTGGTGCATCAGCCGTGGTCGAAGAACCATCGAGTGAAAAAGGGAGACAAAGAGAAACGGAAAGAAAAAGGCGAAGAAAGAGGAAAAAAAGGTGGTACGTCGTTCGGTTCGAGGTAACGTCCGAAACGGCCTTAAGCCTGTCCTTCCTCGGATTATGAATGGGCTGCCCCCACCGTATCGTACGATCACGTGGCTCGTGACGTCAGGTTTTATCGCTGGCATACGCGACACACGCACGCACGCACGCACGCACGCATGCATGCAACCGAGCAAAAGCAAGCGAGCACGCACGCACGCAGTCGGCCGTAAGTATGGTCCCTCCGCCGCATCGCCGCGCCGCGCCGCGCCGCACCGCACCGCACCGCACCGCACCGCACCGCACCGCACCGCATCGCGGCTATGCGTTTTACATACGGCACACAGGAGGGAGTGCACGGAGAGAAGAGAGCGAACTCGCAGGAGAGGCGAGGGAAGTCTGGAGACGGTGGCTCTCCTCTCGTTCGCTCTTTCTCTCCTATCTTCGCTCGCCGATTCTCCGCGATCCTCCGAGCTCCCGTGCTCGCCCCCGCCTCTTCGCGACTCGCAAATCCGACCGATGGGCCTAGAACCGTTCCACGTGGGCCTAGATTCGCGCGAAAGAAGAAAAATGTGGGTCTGGAAGCGTCACGGAGAAGAGCGGCGCGGCGCGCGGACCCGGATTCGCCGAGGTAGATTTCGGTAGCTCGCGAATCTCGCGGCTTCTCGGCGAAGCGGCCCGATCGTCCGCGGTTGCAAACGTTTGCGGACATTCGCGAACGCGGGCGACACGGAGCGACGCTTGCACACGGACGCGTGTGGGCTGGAAAAAGGAATACGTGACCAACGTACAGGAAACTGCCCACACTCGGAGCAAAAGCGGCGTGGGTGGACGGACGGATCGACGAACGGGCGGACGTACCCGATCCGACGCGATCCCGTAGCCCTGAGCAGCTCGGCTCCGCTCGGCTCGGCGCGCGTCCTCGTGTCCATAAGGCGTGCGAGCATGATTGCGCCACGCGGACGAGCTGCGAGTGCTGCGAGTGCTGCGCGGCCGTGCACCGGCCTCCCGAGCTCGCGAGCACCCAGCACCCGACTCCCGAGCAGGAATGCCTCGTCGAAGATCGACTCGTCTCTCTTTCTCTCTCTCTCTCTCTCGGTCTCTTTTTTCGGCGGAGCGTGGGCGGCGGAGGCCGACCGGCTATCGATACCTCGGTCCCGTTCGATCGAACCAGCACGCGTCGCGCGTCGGCTCGTGGCCTCGTTCCAACCGACGCGATTGCTCGCGATTCCTTTTCGGATAGTCCCCGTTTCTTCGCTTGGCCGTTCACGGTCGTGCCTCGGTACCCGAAATCGAAATCCACCGGATGCGCGAGACAGGCGCGGGCCGTGCTCGACGCGTCCCTAAAAAGATCGACGTTGGTCGAAACGAGCGCACGGTTCTTTTCGGAAGGACCGGGCCCCTTCGCGAAATCCGTCGCGGGTCCTCGGCGACCCGAGGTTCGCGACAGTCGCTCTCGACCATGGTTAAATCGTTTCGATCGCGAGCGGATCGAGCGGCCTGGTCGCGTTCGTTGATTATGCGGGGCCGCGGTGGATCCGATCGTCGTCGGAAGCGCGGGGGACCGCGCTTAGTATTTGCGAAGCGAGCTGCTTCGCTTCGCTTCGGCTCCGAACCGCGTACGCACGCATATTCGCTCGATTATGATGGCGTCGGCGAATCGAAGATTCTCGCCGAGCGTCTTCCTGTCCTCGTCCTGTTTAGGCGAGCGAGATCGGAACAAATAGTTTAACCGGGACACGCGCTATTCTTCTCGGAACGAGCCGGGGGCCACGCGTATCGATTAACAATTAACCGCGGCCGTTTTCGTAGTAATGCCACGTACGGAGCAACGTTTCGGTCTTGTTCGGCGCCGGGGAACACGGAGCCGGACAGAATAAGAGAGAGAGAGAGAGAGAGAGAGAGAGAGAGAGAAAGCTTTTGCAACGTACTCGATATCCGACCTGTTTTTTCGAAACGATTCTCCGCTCGCGGCCATCTTTGCGCCTATTTACCGGGGAAGGCGAACCGATCGACGAGGATTCGCGTCGACTTCGCAGCCGGAGAAGCGGGTTCTCTCGCTGTCGGTGGAAACGCTCGCGTAGAATCGTCGGATGCCGGCAGCACAGGGCCGACAGAGCGTATACTCGCGTGTCCGCGCTCCGCATATCCGCTCCCATGTCCCGGTATAGCTGCTTATATACCGCGGTTAAAAACAATGCGAGGAAACGAGCCATCTTTTCCTGCTGCAGAAGAGGAGCGAGCTGCACCTCCGTCCGTCCATCCGTCCGTCCGTCCGTCCATCCGTCCCGTTCGTACGTCCGGCCGTCACGAGCCACGAATGCCACGATGCACCAGAACCGAGCCTCGACTCTTCGGGGACGGACGAGAAATCCCCGCGTGCCAAATTCTCCTTCGATCGGACGCGTTTTTGCTACCTCTCGGCGATCCGTCGACGGCGTTCGCGACGATACGCGACGACCGAAGAAGAATCGTGGGAGATCCGCGTCGCTGTTCGTCGCGTTCGATGCACAGGGTGGTCTACAAAATCGTTCTACAAAATGCTCCGCGGTTTATGACACGAGAGGCCGAAGAGGATCCGTGCCCCGCGGGCCGGTTTTTAATGCCGGAAGCGTCCCTCTCTCTCCGAGGGACCCCTCCGTCTCTCTCTCTCTCTCTCTCTCTCTCTCTCTCTCTCTCNGTGGTCTACAAAATCGTTCTACAAAATGCTCCGCGGTTTATGACACGAGAGGCCGAAGAGGATCCGTGCCCCGCGGGCCGGTTTTTAATGCCGGAAGCGTCCCTCTCTCTCCGAGGGACCCCTCCGTCTCTCTCTCTCTCTCTCTCTCTCTCTCTCTCTCTCTCTCCGTTGCTCTCTCGACTTCCTCTCCCATTTGTACCAGCATTTCTTTCGCTGGCAACATCTGTCGTTCGTCTTTTCTCCGGGGAATCTCCGTCTCTTTCCCTTCGCTTTCTCCTCCCCGTTTCCACGCAGCAGCCCTTTTATCCGGCCGCTTTTTCTTCTTTTCTATTTTCCGCCCCCTCCATCCTTCGACGCCGGCCAGGGACGACCTCGTGCATTTCGCGAGCAGGTTCGAACTTTGACCGACTCCTTCCGATCCGCGACAAGGTCTCTTGTCGCTTCATCGAAAGATCGGACTTCGGCGATCCGCGGGACGCGAACCGCGCGCAGTCGACGACGAAGAACGTCGATCCGCCGCCCGGCCGTGCCTACGGTTCGGCCGGTTCGGTCAGCGTTCCCTCGTTCGCTTTGACCGGTCTCCTCCCACGCTGCACCCTTTTTACGTTCTCTCTTTTTCATTGATCCGGTCGACCGGCGCGCGGCGTCCTCTTACCTTTTTCCAGCAAATGGTATCGCACGGTGCGGTGCGGTGCGGCGCGGTAGCGGAACGGTTCGCCGTTCATCAATGAAACATGACTAGCTCTCCGTCGGTGTTTCGGTGAGTAGGCTCGTTTTATCGAGCGCCGGTGCCTTCTAATTGGCTCCCCCGTTTTTCTTTCCTTTTTCCTCCGCCGTTCATCGACGCGCCGTACCTCGCCGCGTCGCACCGGTTCTTCATTCGTTCGTTCATTCATTACGTAAAGGTCGCGGGAGAGTTTCACCGGGTTCGCGCCCGACGACGACGAACGATGCCTAACGATGCGAGCGCGACTTTCGCGATCGTTTTCAGACGATAGAAACGCTCGGGAGCAAGAACTTTTCTGTGAACGCAGTTCGAAAGGGAGAAAACGTTTCGGACTGGAAGGGAAGGGTCGATTATCCTAATAAGTTTCGTCGGGGAGAAGAAAAAGGGCGGGACACGTGTACGGTGTTGCGCGTCGGAAGGGTGTTTTACGGTGGTCCGAGTAAAAAACCACGGACCGGTCTCGTATCTTGTTCTAATATCCGAATGCNAGATTCTCGCCGAGCGTCTTCCTGTCCTCGTCCTGTTTAGGCGAGCGAGATCGGAACAAATAGTTTAACCGGGACACGCGCTATTCTTCTCGGAACGAGCCGGGGGCCACGCGTATCGATTAACAATTAACCGCGGCCGTTTTCGTAGTAATGCCACGTACGGAGCAACGTTTCGGTCTTGTTCGGCGCCGGGGAACACGGAGCCGGACAGAATAAGAGAGAGAGAGAGAGAGAGAGAGAGAGAGAGAGAAAGCTTTTGCAACGTACTCGATATCCGACCTGTTTTTTCGAAACGATTCTCCGCTCGCGGCCATCTTTGCGCCTATTTACCGGGGAAGGCGAACCGATCGACGAGGATTCGCGTCGACTTCGCAGCCGGAGAAGCGGGTTCTCTCGCTGTCGGTGGAAACGCTCGCGTAGAATCGTCGGATGCCGGCAGCACAGGGCCGACAGAGCGTATACTCGCGTGTCCGCGCTCCGCATATCCGCTCCCATGTCCCGGTATAGCTGCTTATATACCGCGGTTAAAAACAATGCGAGGAAACGAGCCATCTTTTCCTGCTGCAGAAGAGGAGCGAGCTGCACCTCCGTCCGTCCATCCGTCCGTCCGTCCGTCCATCCGTCCCGTTCGTACGTCCGGCCGTCACGAGCCACGAATGCCACGATGCACCAGAACCGAGCCTCGACTCTTCGGGGACGGACGAGAAATCCCCGCGTGCCAAATTCTCCTTCGATCGGACGCGTTTTTGCTACCTCTCGGCGATCCGTCGACGGCGTTCGCGACGATACGCGACGACCGAAGAAGAATCGTGGGAGATCCGCGTCGCTGTTCGTCGCGTTCGATGCACAGGGTGGTCTACAAAATCGTTCTACAAAATGCTCCGCGGTTTATGACACGAGAGGCCGAAGAGGATCCGTGCCCCGCGGGCCGGTTTTTAATGCCGGAAGCGTCCCTCTCTCTCCGAGGGACCCCTCCGTCTCTCTCTCTCTCTCTCTCTCTCTCTCTCTCTCTCTCTCCGTTGCTCTCTCGACTTCCTCTCCCATTTGTACCAGCATTTCTTTCGCTGGCAACATCTGTCGTTCGTCTTTTCTCCGGGGAATCTCCGTCTCTTTCCCTTCGCTTTCTCCTCCCCGTTTCCACGCAGCAGCCCTTTTATCCGGCCGCTTTTTCTTCTTTTCTATTTTCCGCCCCCTCCATCCTTCGACGCCGGCCAGGGACGACCTCGTGCATTTCGCGAGCAGGTTCGAACTTTGACCGACTCCTTCCGATCCGCGACAAGGTCTCTTGTCGCTTCATCGAAAGATCGGACTTCGGCGATCCGCGGGACGCGAACCGCGCGCAGTCGACGACGAAGAACGTCGATCCGCCGCCCGGCCGTGCCTACGGTTCGGCCGGTTCGGTCAGCGTTCCCTCGTTCGCTTTGACCGGTCTCCTCCCACGCTGCACCCTTTTTACGTTCTCTCTTTTTCATTGATCCGGTCGACCGGCGCGCGGCGTCCTCTTACCTTTTTCCAGCAAATGGTATCGCACGGTGCGGTGCGGTGCGGCGCGGTAGCGGAACGGTTCGCCGTTCATCAATGAAACATGACTAGCTCTCCGTCGGTGTTTCGGTGAGTAGGCTCGTTTTATCGAGCGCCGGTGCCTTCTAATTGGCTCCCCCGTTTTTCTTTCCTTTTTCCTCCGCCGTTCATCGACGCGCCGTACCTCGCCGCGTCGCACCGGTTCTTCATTCGTTCGTTCATTCATTACGTAAAGGTCGCGGGAGAGTTTCACCGGGTTCGCGCCCGACGACGACGAACGATGCCTAACGATGCGAGCGCGACTTTCGCGATCGTTTTCAGACGATAGAAACGCTCGGGAGCAAGAACTTTTCTGTGAACGCAGTTCGAAAGGGAGAAAACGTTTCGGACTGGAAGGGAAGGGTCGATTATCCTAATAAGTTTCGTCGGGGAGAAGAAAAAGGGCGGGACACGTGTACGGTGTTGCGCGTCGGAAGGGTGTTTTACGGTGGTCCGAGTAAAAAACCACGGACCGGTCTCGTATCTTGTTCTAATATCCGAATGCGCCGGCAGTCGACCGAACCGGAAGTCTTAAAAACCAGCTTTATCTCCGAAAATGCTCGGGAACTCGCTTCCCCCCCTCCCTCCACCGTCCTCTTTTGTATCACCGACCGTTTCGCCTCGGGAATTAGCCTCGCGTCCGTTTTATCCAGGCGGTCTCGTATTCGTCTCGGAGATACGTTCACAGCGACCCGTCGAAACCACGGTTCTCGCAACCCCGGATTTCACGAACTTACGAGTCTCATAATTTCCTTAATTCCCCGTGCGCGTCCTCGAGCCTCGCATTCGTCGCTTCGCGAGTGCAGGGTTATTTAAAAAGAAAGCAATCGAACGAACGATTTACAGCGGTCGTCGTCGTCTCCGAGAGGAGAGTAGACGGTCGGAGGAAGGTTTAGTTTTCAGAGCCCGTTCCATTTCGGTTTCGATCTATGGATCATCGAATATCTATGCCGAACGTGTTTCGCGAGAAAGCGCGAGCTCGAAAAAAAATGGGCAATGCGAACGGAGGACGCGCGACTCCGCGAACGCGTCCGCGTGCCGCGTGCCGCGTGCCGCGAAAGAAGCCGCCGCGGCGTTCGAACGGGACCGCGTTCGCGTACGAGCGCGACGTAGTTCCGTAGTCGGAAGGAAAACAAAATATTAAGATAAAACATAAACCACTGTCACCGTAACATAAATACACGGGGAACGGTATGCGCGCGAGCGTGTGTGTCAGTTTCGCCGCGAAAATAACTAGTGACGCATGCTGTCCGGATTCGGCCAGCCCGGTGCAACGAGACGCGACACGTAGAAATAAACGCACCTACAACCGACCGCCGCGACGCGAACGCGACGCGACACGCTCGCCTAATCGCGGGTGTTCGATTCGAGCCCGATATCGAGGCGGTCTCGCCGATCGTCGATAATCACGGAAAAACCTGGCAATTCGTGTCCGTCGCGCGCTTATCCTTCCAACGGATAATTAACGAAGAGCGTTCGTTCTCTGTTACAGTACGCGGGAATTCGTATCGGCCCCGTTGTCAAGAAAGACGTGATGAAGGCTTCGATCATGCTGGAACATGACAGCCAGTGAGTACATACACGCATCGAAAGTTTCGATACTTTCCTCGAGCGAAAGCAGCGAAAGCTCAGCTTAGAAGGAACCAGCGATTATAAAAAGGGTATTCCTAGGAGACGTTCTCGATTCGCAGGTACGCCACGATCCTCGCGTTCGACGTGAAGATCGAGAGAGACGCCCAGGAGCTGGCGGACACCCTCGGGGTGAAGATATTCCAGGCGGACATCATTTACCACCTCTTCGACAAGTTCACCGCGTACAGGGAGGAACTGAAGCAGCGCAAGCGGGACGAGCACAAGCACATCGCCGTGTTCCCGTGCAAGCTTCGCATCTTGCCGCAGGTACGGTCGCCCGAATCGATTATCGTTCGAACGCGGGAATCGAGCGACAGCGTTTCCGCTTCGCGAGACTCCGCTTCGGCGCTCTTCTTTAACCCGTTTAAACGACCACTGGCCCCGATTTCAGCACATCTTCAACTCTCGCGATCCTATCGTGATGGGCGTGATGGTCGAGGCGGGAATCGTTAAGGAAGGAACTCCTCTCTGCGTGCCCAGCAAAGACGTGAGTATTTTCGAACGTTCTCGTTTTCTCGCGACAGCCTATCCGGCGAGGTAGGCGGTGCCGCCTCGTACCGAGCGATCGCTGCACGATTCCCATCTTTCGAACCCTGGCCCCGGAATCGGTCTCGTCGGCTGCTTTCTCGATCGCTACCGAAATTTCGCTTGGAAAGCGGCGACGGTGGCTTTCGCGTGCCACGGATCGAAAGAACGGTGATCGGGTAGTTTTCGATCGGAGAATTCTCCTCGGGTAATCCACTCGGTCCAGCCGTCGACTCGTCGACGCGTAGGTGAACTCGTTCGCGGGGAAACAGCGGCGATCCAGTTGGCCTGCGATCGATCACCTCCCGATCGAGCGACCGAGAGACCCGACGAACGCGTAGAAAATCGCTCGGACCAAGCTCTTCGATTTCTTCCAGTGTCTTTCCCTTTCTCTTTCTCTTTCGGTATCCTTCGCATCGATTTTACACGCTTTCGTCTCGCGATTTCGTACGCGCTCCTCGACGTCTCGCGACGCGTCTCGAGACGCGTCTCGAACGCCGGCCGCGAGCGCGTCGCCGCGGAAACTCGCGGATCGCTCTGTAAATCGCGGTGCGATCGGACGCGTCGAACCGATCGTTCTTTGGAAAATTCGAAGCAACGGCGGCGTGTCGGTGGCGTCGGCGCACGTTTCTCGGTTCTCGTTCTCTTTCTCGTAGGAGTAAACTGGTGGGCAGAGCGGTTCTTTGCAGCCTCGCCTTACGCGGTAGCACGCGGACAGCTACAGGTTGCCTAGCCCGGGATTCGTAGGCGTCGCGATGCCATTAGCAGCCCGCAAATTCCCCGGTAAACAAAAATTCCATCCGGGTACGCTCTCGTGAAAGACGCCCACGCGCCGAGGACCTAGCCTTCTCCTCTCCTCTCGCGCTCTCCTTCTCTTCCCTCCGCCGGAGTCCAGCTCCGGAGATGATTTACCAGGCAAATGGCTCGCCCCCGAATGGTCGCGTTATTTGCGCAAGATCCAAGAAGATTTTCGTAGCGCGCGTGGGAACGCGCGGTTGATTTATCGGGAAGTCTCGTCGGAGGGCCGGCGATTTCGCTCGACAGCGTTCAATTACATCGTCAAACTCGCGCGCCCCGCTTGTCTATCCGTCCTATCCGTCCGTTCGCCGTTTGTCTATCCGCCTCTGTCCACCGGAGGCTGCCTGTCGCGGCCAATCGTTTTCCTTTCCGTGGTTTCGCGACAGGGCGAGGAACGGTGGGCGTCCGATCGAAGGACTCGTCGGACGGGTGGAGCGGCACACCTGTTGCCCATTCGCGGATCGTTTTCGCGGATCGGATAGGAATTCGCACGTGTTCTTCGCAGGCCCGTTGCGCGCGTATCTCTCCGATGCCGACGAAATCGATGGAAAAGGAAAACGGGACCGAGGCGCGGTGAAGAATCGGCGAAGGCGACGGTGGGCGTTGCTCGCGGTTGTTTTCGGCGTTGAACCACCGAGAGCAAAGTTACGAGAGTCCGACTAATTCACGGTGCAACGCGCGAGCAGGAAGGGAAAGGCGGGAGAAAAAACGGGCCGCGAAACGCGTCCGGTCTCGGCGGAGCCGTTTTCGGTCGGAACGGTCGCGTCCAGAGGCGAGTGCTCGCCGATAAATAACGCGATTAAATAATGCCGGAGCCGCATGTGGGTGATCGTAGACGACGCGTGTAAAATTGGAATCGGTCCGGATTGGATCGTTGCATGGTGTATCCACGGTGTGTTCGGCTGCGTGCGCGATCGAGGATTTCTCGCCCGCGCGTAGAAAGCAGCTCCGACCACGTTGTTGGCCCACGCGCTTCGCTCCGCGCCGCGCCGCGCCGCGCGTGCACACACTCCTCTCGGCCCTACCCTGCTTCGTCGGTGCATTTTGGCCTTTCTTGGAATTCGACGGAAATTCCGCCGGTAGAAAGTGGCCGGATAGCCGTTTTTCACGCCGCTATCGCCTCGCGAACGGCTCGTCGTTCCGAAATAAATCGACGGTCGCGCGGAACGAATCGTCCGCGGTCGATTCTCTCGAAGTTTTCGGCCACCCGGATATGCCTGGATCGCTCGATAAAATTCAATGACCAGCGCGGCGCGACGAATGCTCTGAAATCTGTAACGTTGAAATCCGTTCGACGCGCGATACGGGCGACTGGTGTTACGCAAGAAAGAATCGGGTCGGGTCGAGTCGAATCGGATCGGATCGGATCGTCGTTGAATGGCGAAGCCGACGACGGTATCTGTTGTCGCGCGACGGCGCCTTTTTATTGGCAAACGATGATCCGGACCGGATGTCGCGTATCACGAAACCTAGTTGGCTTAGGTCAGGCGTAGACCGCGCGAGATAGGAGCGCTCGCGAAAGAAAGACGAGCGACGGGAACCCGGTCGGAAAAGGGAGGCCGGGGTTACGCCGCGTTCTACGTGATTCCGCAATCGGCCGGCGAATTTCGTTCGGCGATCGGGACGGCGAGCGTCGCCGATTAGGAACGAGGACGCGAATCGACGCTCGATTTTCTTCTCGACCGTTCTTTATCGCGAGCGCGAATCAATCCCCGACCGACGAGCCGAGAAGCCCGAGGAATCGTTCTCTTCGTCGAACGTATCGCTTCTGCGTCGATCTCGAGGCATCGATTCGAACGCGCGATCCGATCGTCGGCCGCGACAGGGTCGATCGATGGCTCCGGACAGGCTGCGCGCGGAAAGCGTTAATTAAGAGAGCAGGTTCGACGTGTTTGGACAATCGATCCGACGCACGAGAGCGGCCGTGGAAAACGGTCGAGCGTTTCTCGAACGAGGCATAGGCTCTCTTGGATGATCGAGCGGTTAGCAGGCAACGCGCCGGCCACTGCGCCGAGCCCGAGCCCGAGCTGTACCGAGACCGAGCCGAGTAGAGAAAGAGGCGAAGGGATAAGACGAAGAGAACGAACGGTGGAACGGCAAGAAAACGGCAGGCTAAAAGAATCCGCCGGATTTCCGCTCGACGTTAAAGCGCCTATCGAGGCCATTGCGCAACGGAGCCGTACACGCCCGATAACGACACCGGTCTCGAGGAGATCGCTCGATTCCCCATCGGTGCCACCACCTTCCATTTCCATCGGCCGCGCGACAATCGACGCGATTAACCGGTAACGCGGGGATCCGAAGAAATCGTCGATTACTTTGGCAAACGTCTCGATGGGAGAGGGAACGCCCCGTTGGGTTCTCCGCTCGGTCTCCGCTTTCTGGCAAGCTGCTCTCTCGGCAACGCGAACGGCCAGCGAACGCTGTTAAATATTTCATCCGATCGTGGAAACGAGATAAGAAATTCAGCTTCCGCTGTAGCTTCCGGCTTGCCGCGTTATATTCTGCGTTATACACACGCGCGCACACACCGCTGCGAAATATTTTGGACGCGGACGCGCGACGATTCTCGCGCGACGGAGTCGTCGAATCCATCGACGGAGAGCTGGTCGTATTATTTCAACGCGATAATGGGGAACGCGGAGAGCATAATTAGCGGAACCGGCGCGGCGGCGTTACAGATTTAAACGCGGCTTCCGGTCGTCGCGTCGGTTCGACGTACGGCGATAATTATATCAAGGAAACGCGAACGAGAGAGATTTTCGAGCGAAATCGCCACGAGTTACATCGCCGCTTCGCTCGGCACCGCTCCGCTCCGCACCGCATCGTCGGTGCTCCCGAGTGACAGGAACTAGAAACTCCGTGGTGTGTATGAGTCCTCTTCCGGCGGAAGGCCGCTCGTAACGTTCTTCCTCTCCTGCCTCTCCTCCGCCTCCGCCTCCGCGTTCTCTTTCTTCCTTCTACTTTGTATCTCCCCTTGCCGGCCCGATTTTCCTTCTTTGTTCGACCATCGCGAGGGGAAAGGCAGAGGTTGTTCGTGAATTTGCCGATCGGGAGCAGAAAATTAAAACGTCGACGAGTAGAGGAGGAGGAGGAGGAGGAGGTGGTGGCGGTGGCGGAGGGGGAGGAGGATGAAGAGGACGAGGAGAACGAGGAGGCGGAGGAGGAGGAGGATGGTTCGAGCGGCAGCTCTCCCGCGAGGGAAGCTAATTAACGAGCACGTGAACGGAACGCGATACCTGTTCGCGCACTGCGATCGGGCCACGATAACGGCCGAGCCGTGAAACTTTTTCATCGAGAGAATTCCGGGCTTTCCGGTTTTCGGGCTTTTGGGCCAGAGGCGGAGGCGGAGGCGCGGCCAGAACGCGTGCGCAATCCGATCGCGTGTCCTCGAATAGACGCGCGAGCGAACGGAACCGTCCGAATTTTTCGAGCTTTCGAGCTTCCGAGCCTTCGAGACTTCCGAGAGACCGAAGCGCGGCGGCGGGACAACCTTCCGACGACCGACCGGATGGCTAATATTAGAGAAAAGGTCGAAAACTGGAGGCAGGAAGGGCACCGGAGAGTGGCCGGACGATCCTCGGTCCGGAGAGAGAGAGAGGATCCAGTCCAAAAACAGGAAACGAGTTCGCGCGACTTCTTTTTTCCTTCTTTGCTCCCGATCTCGCACCCTCGCGATCGCATAGACAACACCGAGGCATCCTTGCCCGATGATACGCGGATAATCGTCGCGCAGCAAGGTCGTCGAGCGCGAAGCCATAACGCCGAGACGAGACTCGGTATTCGCGGTATCGACGGGGCGGGGAGAGTATCCGAAGGGTTGGCAGGGGTGGGAAAGGATACGGGAGACAGCGCGTGTCTCCGTTTCGAGCGTCTAACGAGCGATAACCGACCGGAAGGAAGCCAGAGGCGTTTCCACGAAAGTTGCAGGCGAGCCGGAAGGCCGAAAGACGGGATGTGGTTGGCGACTGCCGAGTAAGTGACGTCCACGTCCGCGTCCACGTGTTGGTGTGCAAACGTGTTCTCTCTCCCTCTCGATCTCCCTTTCCACCTCCTTCTATCTGTTCCTCTCTCTCTTCCTCTATTTCTCTGGAACCCCCTCCCCGACGCGCCGCCGCAGCCTCTAACTCGGTCTCTCTTCTCTCTCGTTCTCTCTCTCTCTCTCTCTCTCTCTCTCTCTCTCTCTCGGCCTCGTCGGTGTTTCTCTAAGTAGGCAGCTGGTTAACGTTGCTATCGTAGCGAACGAACGAAAAAAAGAGGAGAAATAGCTTGGGAAAGAGAGAACGAAGGATAAGAGAGATAAAGAGGCCGGAGGAAAGAACGTGTACGAGAGAGTCGAAGGGAGGTGGGAGAGAGAGGGGGAGGGGGGGAGAAAGAGAGAGAGAAAAGCGTGCCGACCGGATGTCGAGTTTCCAATGTCGAGTAGATCGCTTTACCCGGGCTCGCGATTCATTTCGCCAACAACGAATGCCGACGATAAACGCTTAAACGCGTCGGCGAAGGAATGCTTATCGGGGGGCGTTCCTCCGCTTCCGGTCCACGAAATCAAACCGTGACGAATCGGATACGCCGCTGGACACACGGGACTCGCGGGAACAGTGGATCGAGAATATTTCAAAATCCTGAAATTCTTCTCGCTCGCGTCCCTATTGCACGTTGCACCCCTCGAATGCGTTCACTTTGCTCTCTTATCCGCGACCCTTTCTTCGACGCGGATTCCATTCGGAACTACGATAAAGAGAGAGAGAGAGAGAGAACAAATTCTAACGCGCGAACGTTTTCTCGATCGATCAGTGTTTCCGTGGATATCGAAACTCGTAGAATCGGAACAGTAGAAAGCTAATTGGCAGTGCGACTTTGTTTCTTCGGCGGGGCGTGCACAGCCCTCGACCGACCATTAGCGATTAACCTCGATGCCGTGGCTCGATATCGTGGTCCGATACGCGCAACAATCTCCGGCGGATCGTTGGCGACCGCTAAACAAGTTATCTCGATCTTATTGATCCGATCGGGGCTGCGGATGACAAAAAACTGTGATTGCCTTCGGTTGTACGCGAGCCTCGTCAATTACTGCTCTCTCGCTCTCCCTCTCTCTCTCTCTCTTCCGCGTTCGCGTCGAGCTCTCCCGGCTGCCGACGGTATCGCAACGTCTGTCCGCTGGCAAACCGGTTGTTCCCGATTATTATTTATCGCTGTTGTTATTTGTTTACGAAAAGTTTTTCCGACGCGTTGATTAAGCGATAACGTCCTCGAGGAAGAAACGATCCGAAACGAAGGACGCTCGTGTTCGAAGCGCGTTCGCTTTTTAGTCGATCGCCGATTCGCGACCGCTTGCTTCGGTTCTCGTTCCAAGATGCTTCCAATCTTAGGAAGATCGAGGGGGCGATCGCCCGATATCGGGCGATTTGTCGTCGTTTCCGATTTTTCGATCGTTCGCGTCTCCGACGAAGACGTCGAAGCGGAGAGTTGGTCGCGTCCCTCGTTCGAACAGGACGGATTTCCGTGGAAGAACGAACAAAGAAAAATAGTGAAAAGGGGGAGGAAAGGAGAGGGTCGGTCGGGCCGGGCCGAGCCGGGTCGGGTCGGGGTGTTGGCATACTCGGTAGCAGACGCGTGGCGCGGCGAGCAAACGCGCGAGACGGGAACCGGAAGTCTATTTTCGTGAGGCGCACCGATTTAGAAAGCTTTATAGTTTGTACGAGCCCGAGCGGCTAACAGCGAACCGTCGGTGTCGTCGGCGTGGCTCGCCGATTCGAGCGCACCCTGCGTACCACCTTCCCTCGTCGCAGCTACCACCCTCGGGTGAAACCGACGCGGGCCCCGGTCGCCGGGGTGCTGGGGTGCCGCGCGAACGATGCGCCACGCTTCTCGAACAATCGCACCGATGACCGAGGCTCTGCTCCGTTCCCCGCGTACCTCTGGACGATCGCGGTAAAAACCGTCTCCATCGAGGAGAGCTCGACCGAACGGAGATCCCCGTTACGGGCTCGTCACGGTCCATCTCTCGTCACCGGCTGCTGCTCGATCGCTCCGATCGCTCGATCTTCTACTCGGTCGCGTTCGTGGCTCGTTACCGCCTCGAAAATTCATTTTCGCGACCGTAGACGGGGCAGCACGACCAGGCTAGTAGTCCCCTTCATAAAATTCCCCGAGCAGACTAATTAAATCGCAGGAAGCGAATATGTTTCTGCGCCCTGTGGAGCGATCGCTTCCGGACGGGAAGTGCGCCGCTAATCACCGGATATATCGGGCGACAAACGTCGGTATTAATCAGCGGCGCAGTTCGCTAACGGTGCTGCGTATCAGCTCGCGCGACACACCGTGCACACAATGCTCGCTCGAGAGCGGAGATAACGCGGCCGGGTAGCGAGAGAAAACGCGGCTCGCGGCGATCGATGGAACATCTTGCTCGAGAAATATTGGCTCGACGTCGAAAATCGGTGATCGTCGTGGCCTCGCGACGAGGAGCGGCGCGGAACGGCGGCCCAGCGTCGAGAAAAGCGCGATGGGAGGGCGAGAGAGCGGAACAGGGCTCGGAGCGAGAAGGATCGGCCGCGTGTGGGCATATTGCTCTTTCGGCGTGGGTTTCGGCCAGGGGCCCGGCATATTCGACCGGTCATTGTCCATCGATCGCCGCGGAGCGGACCGGAGCGGTTTTTGCGCGGCCGACCGCCTTCCGGCTACGCTCGCCGGTCTCTCGAGAATCTTTCGGTCCCAGCGCGACTGCGACGGTACGGAGGTTCCCCCTTTTCCACGCGAAAGCGTGGAATCGGCTTCGACTTTCCGAGGCGATCGAGAAAAAGGCCCACGTTCCGGGGCCCACAGGATCCACCGGCCTACGCGGAGCTCGCGGTCGCGGTCGCGCGCGTCTGCCTACTCTCGGTTCACCGATTCCCGGCGCCGCACCGATATTCGCGACGAAAACGCGTTATATGCCACCTATGCGTCCGCGTCGGGGTCTGGCGACGCGCGATGCTCGGGCACGCGGTTTTCTCTCGACTTCCGGTCGCGGAAAGGAATGCATAGGCGGAGCTGTGCCCACGCGACGAGGCGCTCCGATCGCTGCGAGACCGATTCTACCCCATGGGAATTCTATCGCGAAAGCTCCCTATTTTGTCCTGCTTTCGGCGGCGGTCGATCCCCGCTGGGATCGAACGCGAGTACACCGAACAGCCTGGGAACTGGGACCGGGCCAACGAGAAGCCACGGGAACGCTGGCTAATTTCGCTTCGTTTCGTTGTTGCAGTTCCTCGAATTGGGCATGGTCACGAGCATAGAATACAATCACAAGCCCGTCGAGTCGGCGAGGAAGGGTCAGGAGGTCTGCGTGAAGATCGAGCCGATTCCGGGAGAGGCGCCGAAGATGTACGGCCGTCACTTCGACGAGAAGGACTTCGTCATCAGCAAGGTAAGATCGTATTTTCCGGAACTTGTTAACGAACGTTCGCAACGCGCCGATGTCATTTCCTCGCCGTGGAACGAACGACTGCCCGCGGCGACCGAATCGGACTTCCAGGTAAACCGTTTCCCCGCGATCGGGCACGTTCGAATCGACTCGGCGCGCGATAAAGCCGTTCGAGCGCGAAATAAAAGGGCGCCAGAGGGTCGCCGGGCCGAGGGGAGAGGGAGGAAAGGAAGAAGGGGAGCGACAGGGTACGGAGAGTTCCGTTGGAAGAAGCAGCTGCGCCGAAGGAATCCGATCGACAGGTGGTCCCGGCGGACTTTGACGAAATTCCAGCAAAGAACGGCGAGCCTCTCGGTGTGCCTCGGTTTTCGGTTTCTTTCGCTCGATTCTTTCGCATAACTTTGGAATTTCATCAAAATCAGTGGGGAGCGAGACGGAAACGATCCTTATTAGTATGCGAGACTCTGGTCGAAAAAGGAAGATGCACATCCGGCAGCGATCAGCCGTCCACCATCGACTTCCGCTCTTCGCAGAACCTCCGTTCCTTTCTTGCCACTCCTTCTCCTCCTCCTCCTCCTCCTTCCCCTCCTCTTGCTCCTCTTCCTTTCCTCTTCGCCGCACCGGCCCGCTCCGTCCCGCTCCGTCCCGCTCCGTCCCGTTCCGCGCCGCTCCGCAACGCGCCGTAGCTCGAGTTGCCCTTCGCATCGTTTCTTTCTTTTCCGTCTTTCGCTTCGGATATCGGTTGCGAATCGATCGATTCCATACGCGTTCGTCCGCGCGAAAAATTGAGGCCCGTCGTTCGATTTCATTTCGATCGTTATCGGTGGCTCTATCTTCGTTCGTTCGTCGAACGTGCGAAGCCTTTTTCAACGTCGCCGACAATAAATTGTAGCAACCGACTCGATCGTCGAGATCGGCACGGACTCGCGAGAACGCGTTTAACTCGATCCCATCGCTACCGATAGGTCCGCGTTCGCGACGGCGGATTTCTGTGCCGACGCCGTCGACGACGCCGACACTGCCGACTCGGCTCGGCTCGGCTCGTTGCGACCGGAAGTCGTCGTTACCGTTTGCTTCGTGGAATCGATTCTCCGGAATCACCTTGTTCCCACGATGATTTGTGGAGCGACGATTTCGCGCGTACCCCGCGAACAGCCGTCTCACCGCCTCGCCCCGCCTCGCCGTTTCCTCTCCCTTTTCCTTTCCCTTCCTTCTTGGATTCTGGGACGCGGCTTTCCGCTAGCCTAACTTTAGACGACGGCCACTGTTTTCGAGCGAACAGGCTTCTGTGTTCGTCGAGCGAACGGCTCGCCCTCGATCGAGAAAAGCGGTCCTTTGAAACTACCGGACGCCGCACCGACCCTGACGATCGTCGGCGTAAAGAGGAACGAGACGATAACGAAAGCAGATACGCCGATAACGAAAAGATTTAAATGCAGAGAGCCGAGGTGAGAACCACGAGCGTTCGAGAGAAATATAGTAACTTACTATAACTCGAATCGTACAAACTTAATAGTACGAAATCTATTAGAGACGAAGCCCCGAAATCGTACGAGGAAAAGACACCCTGCGATTCTCCATATCCAGCTAATTTTAGCCATTAGTATGGCGTGGCGGACAGAGTCGAAAGGCTTCTTAAAGTCGGTATATATCGTTAATATAAGTCGCTCTGTGCGCGTGTGCACGTGTAACAGAGAGGAGAGCGGGAGAGAGAGAAAGATCGGGAGGAAGGGAACGAGGAGGAGAAGGAAGGAAAGAGAGAGAGAGAGAGAGAGAGAGAGAGAAGCAGCAGGGGCGTGGCGGGAGGCAGGCGTCCTCAATAGCCGCGTAAAACCACCATTGTGACCGATCCATGAATGAAACGGGACTTCCGGCCGGGAGTGGGGGCGGAAACAGTTGTAAAGCGTTACGTTAGTGAATGGACCGTGTGCGCGAGCATGCGCCTGTCCTCGCAAAAACCGATTCAAGGAAATTATTCCTAGACGAGGACGACGACGATCACGACGACGACGACGACGGCGACGACGGCGACGACGATCGATGTACGAGAGGCAGCCTCTCTCGCCTCCGAGACCTGGCGCGCTGACAATTCGCCTCTGTCCGCGAAATTTCGCGGACCGACGGATCCGCCGAAGACGATTCCTCGTTGCTTTCGCGATCGCGATACTCGGTCGTTTACGTTGCTTCCAAAGTCTCGCGTCTCCCGGCTAAGAGACGCGGAGGTAATCGAAAGGGGCGTTGTTCCATGGTTATGGTTGTTCTGTTACAGATCAGCAGACAGAGCATAGACGCGTGCAAGGAGTACTTCCGGGATGACCTGGTGAAAACGGACTGGCAGCTGATGGTGGAACTAAAGAAGCTCTTCCAGATACTCTAGGATCGGTTGTCGCGTGGGTACCGTGAGGATTCAGCGGCGCGGCGTGGCGAATCGATCGCGATCGCGATCGCGATCGGCCAACGGATGGAGCCTCGGCTAGGTGGTCCACGATCCGCGAACGAGACGAGCACGCTCGTCGATCGTTCGACAACCCGATTTGTAATATATGCGTACGTCGAACTTTCCGATCTCTGCGCCGTTTCGTCACCGATATTCGGCGATATCTGCGAGCGGTCTCGTTCTTAAATCGTCCTCGGACGGGCGCTCGCAGAGAGCAGAGATCCGTTCGGTTCGGCCGAGAACAGCACAAAACTAATCGTTTTTCGTATCCTTAATCTTTAGTTTAGTCGACTGGATCGCGTCGCGGTTTGCTCGTTCGAGACGGTTCTCGTTAAGGTCGGAGCGGCCTTAAACGGCAACCCAGAAGCCGAGTACGCCTATAGGCCGTGAAAAGGAACCGGGAGGAACGAATACGGTTCGTTCCATCATCGGTAATTAGTCGATGCGCATCCGTTCTGCGGATCTGCTCCGCACCGAGGTAAATTAAGGTGCGCGTTGATTGGTAATTTTAATTGGTACACGCATTAGTCGCGGTATCATTGTTCCGCGGGTATTCGGCCTCGGCGAACGACCCGCCGACGCGACTCTGCGAGAACCGTTCGCGGTTCGGCGTTCGACTCTGTTCCATCCCTCTTCGTCGAGTTCCTTCGTTCGTTCTTTCGACGTTTCGTTCCCCACGGAAACTCGATTCTTACGAAGCGACTCGCGACTCGCGGCTCTCGCGGCCCACGATTAGAACCAGAACCGGTTCGCCGGTCCCGCGTCGATGCCGCGCTCCTTTTTCTCGGTCGCGCGACAATTTATGAAATCGTCTTCCGGCGCAATTTGTTGCAATTACAGCCACGGGGCCGAAAACGAATTTTTCCTTTGCAATATCGGAGGCGCTCCAAGTCGGCGAAGAATTCGCCCGTGACAGTTGATCTACGCATGTTGAATAATTGATAGTTTAAAGATGTACGATAGACAGAGGCCGCTCTCGAGGATCGGAATTAGGATGAAAATTTTAGGATCGGAGGGCTTCGAACAAATTCCCCGTGGGAATTCCGGACGAAGGAATCGACGACGCGGGTCGCTGCTTCTTGTCGATCAACGACGCCGATGCCTCGTCGACAAATTATTTTTTCTAATCGCTACGCACGGGACTTAAAAGGAATCGCGCGATCGCGAGCGAAGAGCAGCTTTCCGTTGGCAGCGTTTTCAGAGCTTCGCGTTCGCGTTCGCGTTCGCGTTCGCAGCGCTTTCGCGGCGCGGCTCCGAGTCCGAGCATCCTGATTTCTACGAAACTTTCTAGCATCCTACGAAACGATTCGATGTAGAAGGTGTCCGCGAACGACCACCGTACCCGGATCCGATTACGGACGACGCGTCGAAACGGAAGCGCCGTCGTTCGATCGTCGTCGAACCGGAAAGCGTTTCGTCGTCGCACGCCGACGCTCTCGTTTCGATTTGCGACCACCCACTGGCGGCGGACGATTTTAAACACGGTTTTACGATTCTTATTTCCGAAATGGGAATATCGATCGTTCGCGGACACCTTGCGCGCGTCGCAGGCCGCGACGTCGGAACCGGAGCCGTTTCCGACGCCGCGCCCTGACAGCCGACGTCGCGCTGCACCGCTGAAACGGAAGCGACGATCCGTCTCTCTTGGCGCACGTCGAAACGCACCGGTGCAATTTCATTTCCCTTCGAGGAACAACGTTCGATCGTTCGTTCGGTTTCGGACGTTTCAACTGTAATACGAAAGTACGCGGTGGACGATCTTCGTCACGTTGTAACACGCTCCGTTCTTTTTTTCTTCGTTGCACGTGTCCTTGCGATCGGTTCAACCGTGCCTCGTACGATAGTCCTGCACGATAACCGGACACCGCGGATGCGCGCGGTGCAAGCATAGATTTCTACGGACCAATTTACAGAAACTAGTATCGAACGGATATTTTAGTTTACGCTATCGAAGGTTCGATCGCGAAGTTCCGGCGGAAAGAAACGAAACCGAGCTAATACTAGACCAGGACACCTCCTCGTCGACCCTTCGCGCTCGCGACCTCGTCGAGGACGAATTCTTTTAAGATCGGTGCGTTTTCGATCTCGATGCAACGCGCGCACAGGCGAGAGCGCGCGACAATGCCTTCGGCTCGGGAAGTTCTCCCGGGAGGAGCGCGGTCCTCTCTCTCTAACGAGCTTTCGTAAAACGCGGAGAATGTCGTGGGTAACGAGCAGGCTCGACTCTTGGGAGCCGGGACACAAGCGTCCGACACCTGTGCTATCGGTGTCCCAGATCGCAGGTGTCTCGAGTCTCGTCGTCTCCGGTTCCTGTGCGAGACGCGCCGCTGCTCTCGGTCGTACCGATCGCGAGAGAGCTCGCTGGCCGGCTCGGCGAGCGGAAAATCGGGGAAAAACGATCTTCGCCAAGCGCGAACACCGGCGAACGATCGATCGATCTGTCGGCGACCCTTTCGTTCCGAAAGCCGACCGGAGCGGACCGAGTCCGATTCGGGTCTCGCCGAGTGCCGAACGCGGGAACGAAGTTTCGAGGCCTCGGAACGCGATAATCCGACGCCGATTACGACGGCCTTCGGCGACGGGTCCGACGGAACGAAAGGGTTGCTGCTCGCGACGAATTTTACGGAATCGCGCGTGGCGAACCGGGCGAGCCAGGACGGATAAACTCGTCCGGGTGTCGGCCTCGGGCAGGATCGGTTCGTGGAAGCAGATGCGTGTCTCGCATAAAGTCTCCAACGTGTTTCCGGTTTCGTCGTCGTCGTCGAGAACCCACGTGCGAACGAAAAAGGGAGAGGGAGAAGGAGAGAAAGGGGAAGGGAAGGAGCGAGAAGGGAAAGAGAAGCGCAAGTGTAGATACTCGAGCAGAAGGAAGATAACGAATGAATCAGCGAGAAGGAGAAAATGAGAGTGTGAGAGGGAGAGAGAGAGAGAGAGAGAGAGAGAAAGAGAGAAAAATGTCCACTTAAAAAATTAGTACAATAGAATTCCATCGCGTCGTTACAGAAAGAGAAATAGAGAACGAATATATAGACGCGAGCCTCGAATGTGTTTTGTATATGTACCCACTTTGTATAAGATAATCGAGGGAATTATCACGATCGAAATAAAGACTACGAGAGTTTCACAAGAAAAGAAAAGAAAAGAGAAGAGAAGAAAAGAAACGAGAACTGGCCGGACACTTGCACTCGAGTGTATCTGCGTAACCTTCTTCCTGTTTTTGTTTCCGCCGATCGCGAGAAGTCGCGAGGATCGACGCGATCGAGCCTTTTCCTTCTCGATCGCGATCGAAACGAATCGCGTTCCTCGCGGCGTCGACGATCGGCCCCTATCCGGGGCTATCGGTATCTCGAGGAAACGGTACACGCGCGTTTTCTCAGCCGATCGACGATCCCGCTTTCCGGGACACCGTGTACGTGCGCGGCAACGAGCTCGGCTCGGCATCGCGCGATGAAATACCGGAAGGCAAGCGAAGTACGACCGCCGAATCCGGAATACTTAAAATTCCCCGGTGAGATACCATGTCTCATTAACTTTTTAATGGTAGGTATAACTGTTCCGCTTCCTTCTCTCGGCAGCAGATCGGTAAATTTGAAATATAATTAGCGACGTGGCTCGAAACAAGGCTATCTCGACGCTTCGCGAACGAGCGTTCGCGTTCGAGTTCGCAGGAAATGCATCGGTGGCGACCACGATGCGCTCGCTGCGTTCCTTTTCTTTCGTTCGCCGGGCTGGCCGCGGCTTCGTCGCGCTCTCTCTCACTCTCTCTCTCTCTCTTGTCTCTCCTCTCTCTCTCTACTCTCCTCTCTCTCTCTCTCTCTCTCTCTCTCTCTCTCTCTCTCTCTCTCTCTCTCTCTCTCTCTCTCTCTCTCTCTCTCTCTCTCTCTCTCTCTCTCTCTCTCTCTCTCTCTCTCTCTCTCTCTCTCTCTCTCGCTTTCTTTCTCTCCGTTTCCCCGTTTTTGTAGACGCCGAGCCCCTTTTCCACCGAATCCACGCGCGTCTTCGTAGCCTCCCCGCCGCTTATGTAAGTCGTTTAATCGGTTTACCGATGCGCTCGCCGTCGCCGCACACGCATATTCGCTCGCACGCTCCTCTGCGCGAGTGCGACTGCGAGCACTCGCTGGTTTCCTCCGATTCCTCTCTCTTCGGCTCGACGATCCCCCTCGGGCCCCCTTCCGCCGATACCACCGCGCCCCTCCCTCCCGAGTCATCGATACTTTCCCGGTTCCACTCGTCAAAGGGTTCAAACGAACGTCCGGCACGAACAAATCGATCTCTCGCGATTTTATTCCGCCGGACGCTGTCCGCCTCGGCTGCTGGCCTCTCTATTTCACGCTCGAGTGCCTCCTTCGTCGCGAAGAAAAGATATTCCTCGGACCACGAGCGAGCTGGTTTCCTCCTCCTCCTCCTCCTCCTCCTCCTCCTCGACGGTAATACAACTCCGTTACGAAGGCGGCCGGTAATTCACAGGTAGCTCTACTTTAGCGCGTCGACCGTCATCCGATCCGAATTGCTCAACTTCCGGTCCGTCGCTGTGAAATCGACCCTCCGACGAGGAACCGAGACCGAAAGAAGTCTCTATCCGATCCTACGAAAACCGAGACGAGTCAAATTGTTGCCCGGACGTCGGTTCGGCGATCGCTTTCTTCCGGACGAAGATCCGTTTCCGGAGTTTCCATCGTGTCGGAACGGTCGGTCGGCGAAACGGAAGAACGGAAGCGTGGAAAGAAGAGAGCTACTCGCGATCCGTTGCGGTTTGCGGCGGGCCGCGTCGCGCCGCGCCGCGCCGGCTCGAATCTTTTCCTACGCGAGTCAGAAAATATGTCGTGTCCTTGCTGGGAGCAACCGAGAGCAGCAAGTCGGCACGCCGAGCCGCGCTCAATGAACACACGTCATTTCGAGTCATTCATGCATCTGCAGGTTGTCCTCGCGCGTCCATACGCGACGCACGTGGCTGCGTGTGCGTTAGCGATGGGAATGATGACCTCGCAAGCGGCTCGGCGCGGCGCCGCCCGACGCGACGAGGCAAGGCGAGGCGAAGCGAGGTAGCTATCGTGTCCACGTCCACGTAGCGCTCGCTTTTCTTGGAAAAAGTGCTGCTTCCTGTGCCGGTCACCTGGAATTTCCTCTGTTCTCCACCGACGACGTTTCGTCGCGCGACGCGAGCTCGCTCTCCGACAGCGAATTATTCCCGTCCGCCGTTTCCTCGCTCGCCGTAACACGCATTTTTCCATTTTTCCGAGATTGAAGTCCGCCCGGAGAGGGCGTGGTTTCGTTGTATTTCGTGCTATCGATTGTAATATTCCGCGTCGAGCCGTGGCGAGTCGACGAGCGACTTACAAAATACCCGATACGTAACAGCGCGTCGATCGAACGACTCGTTCTTCGATTACTTCTACGGCTAGATTACGTGTCGCCTATGAAAACCGTTGCGTAATTTGTTTTCCCAAAGGATCGCGTGTTCGTCGAGTTGCGCGCGCGCGCGTTCTTTCAATCGATACGAGAAAACTGGGAGCTCCGCGAAATCGGAGAGACGGCGCGTCGTGGTTTATCCTTATCGGCGGCTCGGCCTCGTTTCCGCTTCGGATACCGAGCTACTTCCGGTCTACGGTGCGGCCGTCGGCGAAACGTTCGGTCGTCGACGCGACGATGTTGCTCGGAAGGAAACGCTTTGCCCGTTTATTGTCCGGCGGTGTCGTCGCGATAGGTCGCGGTAAGGCGATCCGCCGCGTCGAGGAAGTAGATTATTAGGCTGTTAATCTGCCGCGTGTTCGTTTCAGGAAATGAAATATTAAACTCTTAATCGCGCGTGTCAATTTCAGGAAGTCGCGGTCGTTCGGGGGCCGGTGCAGCGAAAGGAAACGCGGACGAGCGAGGCGTTCTGTTATCGCGTGTTCCGATCGATTCTAACCGATAACGATGATTCTATCTTCTTCCGCGCGTTCGTCCACGGTGATTACCGTTTCGCTCGATTTCCGTTCCTCGCGTCGTCGTTGTCAAGGCCGAGCCCGATGGAACCGAGAAAGAGAGAGAGAGAGAGAGAGAGAGAGAGAGAGAGGAACGGAGATCAATTTCCGCCCGTAGCACTCGGATGCTTCGACCAGCGATTCGCATACTTTTCGTGGCAGCGGAAGAATCAACGATCTCGATTCTCGCTCGATCGACTCGATAAAACGTTCCGCGTCGTATTTGACAAAACGGAGAATCTTATCGTTGTCCACACACTCGGCTCACCCGCTTGGCCCTGGCATCGCAAAGACCGCGAATCCGCAGCTGCGATCCGCGCGTTCGCGAGGAGTAAGATCGGCGCGTTCGCACGAGCGTTCCGCGTTATCGTTCGCATACATGGTAATAACAGTATTATCGGCTTAGTTACGCATCGGCGAATAACAAAGTAACCGAGAAAGAAGAACACGCTCGCACTGGGTCTGGCTGGCACCTACTATCCCGGTTTCCGAGCGTTCTTTCCATCGAGCCTCGCCGAGCCGCGCCGATATCTGCGCGAAGGACGAAAGGTCCACCCTCGGGATTCCGTGGAAGATCCCTCTGTCGTCGATTCTAGCGAGCGACGATCGGAACGGGCCCGCGGGGCGGTCCGCGACGTAAGAATCGGCGAAACCGCCGCGAACGGAACGGTTCTAGCAACCGCGCTCGGAACAGCTTAATCAAGGCCAGCCACGAGAGGCAGAAATGTGTCTCAGTATGTCGTAGGTTACAAATCGTCCAACCGAGAGCACTGTAAACAGGCGTAAGGTTAAACGGGCGTGCACACACGTAAGCGCATTAATGAACGCGCTTAAGATACGCGGCGTGCCGCGCGTTTAAATATAGGCTAAACCAGTGTTTCTCAGCCTGTGGCGATTTCACGCGGCCTATTTAGATCCGGCCGACGACTGTTCGCGTCGCGGTTTCGTGTCTCTTCGCTCGGCACTCTCGGATCCTCTGTTCTCGGTTCTCGGCACGGGGTGCCTCCGCGTAAACTGTAAACGACACCGTGAGAAGAAAACCGCGGTTAAGGCACCCGCCGCCGCCAGTCCCCAACTTCCTAGGGACAAGAATTAGTCTCGATTGAACTTGAACCTTGCCGCTGCGCGCCGGAGGAAGACGAACTCGCGCGTCTGCCTTCGCGAGCGACGACCGAGATAGAGGAAGGTGGCCGGCAACCTGAAATTCCAATTATTCCGGAGGACGAAAGAAGCGGCCCGAACGGTCTTCGCCCGGCTCCGGCAGGTCCGTCCCGGCCTCGGCCGTTTTCTGCGCCATCGGTTTCAATGGCTGCAAGCAAGGGTTAATTGTCTAATTAAGTAAGGCGGTCGAGCGGCCGCGAGGAGCGACCAGCCAGCAGCCACGGGCGTGCTCGTGGAACCACGACGGCGAAAGTTACCCTCGTTTTCGCAACGCTCTTCCCACCCCTGCTCCGCTTTTCTCCGCTCCACATTGTTTTGCTCCGACGACCCCCTTTCCCCTTGCACCTTGGGTCTCTCTCTCTCTCTCTCTCTCTCTCTCCACGTTCTCGTTAGCGACCGTTCCGGCAAATTTGGAGCTGCCGATGCTCGCCGGTGCCCGCCGATCGTGTCCCCGCGATTACGTTTCTCGAACGCGAGTCTCGTTTCCGTCGACCATAAGAGGAAGCCTCGAGAGCCGTTAATGGGCCCGCATGCGCTGGCGAAAATCGTGGGACGAGTCTACGCTCGCCGAAACGAGAATACTACGCTGAGAAAGGTGATCGTCGAACGTAGGAGGGAAAAGAGCCGGCCGAGGGAGAGAGAGAGAGTGAGTAGTAGGACGAAGCGTTTCCACACCGGATATCCTTCCGAGGGAAGTGGTGCACGCGATTCGCATCGTCACGCCTCGGACCGCGCGTTTGGATTATTCGAAAAAATTCGCGTTACGGCCACGATATTCCCGCGAATCGCGAGAGATCGGAAAAACCGGTAAACGATAAGCGCGGGTGGCGCGCGATCCAGAAAACCGACCGGCCCCGGGGCCCGTCGCGCGACGCGTCGGTGCCGCGAATCGTCCGCCTTCCCTACGCGTGCATACACGCGGCCAGCCGAACAGACGTTCAAGCTTTCCGTAGAACGTTCGTTTATTTCGTAGCGGTCGCCGTTTATAGGCACACCTGATGCGTCCGCTGCACGCGCGTGCGATGCGTGTGCCGCGCGCCGCC